CTCTGGATGAAATAGCTGAACGTTGCCATTGTGAAGACGATGTATGATCCAATCTCTATATGACTTCCTTCATTTTTTCTTTATTTACACATACAAAGGTTGCAAATTGCTGACTACCCTTTTTGCCATTTGGCAGATTGAAATGATCTATAAGATTATTGCACACATGGCTGCTAATGACAGAGCTCTTATTGCCGAAGGTAATTGTGGTACTCCTCAGAGCATAAGAGTTTATCTGGGAGAGTGTAATGTTGACGAGTTATATGCCTAGATCTTGCATTGAACATTCTGATGTTTCTGCATACATCCGAGAAATACATATGTGCCCAAGATAGGGTCCGGCCTTATGGTGGCTGATTATTGGGGATTCATAACTTAAAAATCCATTTTTTATCTTTTCAAAGCACCATGTTCACATCTATTAGCTGTATCAGAGAGCATATTGCTTCCCCATGATCAAATAAATTTCAGAAAGCTGAGTTTGTAGACATTGCTGCTGTTTATAATATGCTTTTCTTCACCCTCTTTTTTCTTATTGATTGGACATACATACTACAAGTAAAACCAACCAATTTCTGATGATACATTGTGAAACTTGACATTCTATTGGTACTGTTGTGATCTTGGCCTGAAACTTGGTGCAGAAAGAATAGTTGGTCTGTAAGAGGTGGAATCTTCATAGAGATATATTATCTCGTGGTCCAATCCCGTTAAATAATACTACACCTGTCCTTCATCGATTGTGTAAGGTTCTCCAAAGGGGAGACCCCACCCCATTGGCTTAACGTTTTGGGTTGGACGCTCAGATTCTTTCACAGATCACATATATTTGAGTCCATTTCAATACTGTGGGTTGGTACCAGGGACCAGTGAGTTGGTCTATTCCACTTTGATTTGTGCTTTTTGGCTGCACCTGCAAGAGAAAGAGACCATATTGTCCTGAATTTCTTCCCTGGGTCACCAAATATTTGTTAGAAAAAGACCCACAACTCCAACCAAACAAGTAAAGAGAAATAATAAATATCTTGCAATGCTGTGAAATTTACTCAACTAGGAAAGTAGTTGACCCACAAGTAGTCAATTGCAAGTAAGTTGAAGTCGGTATCCTTGAAAATTACACTTCTAAAAGTTATTGATACTGTGATGTAACTTGGTACTTCCATCTTAGTTTACTCGGATTCTCTAAAAATGTTGTTGCATCTGTGTCGGATTTTCCAAAACTGCACTATATTTGGAGGATCGGACACACTTTTGGTGGCATTTTTGAACAGTCCAAACAACGTAATTTTGGATGATAGTGTGATTGAATGTTTCTTTTTCCATACCGGTAGTCGCCTAACTTAACTACCAAGTTACATCACAATATCAATTACTTGTAGAGATCAAATCCAGTTTAAACAGATACTATAGGCAATAAGTATAGGGGCATGATCTCTTTTCTCTTGATAATTCGAAATCTACTTACTCGATTAATTTGAATTCGTAATACAAATGCCTACTAAAAAGGAGGTGTAGCACTCTTTTCTCGATTAATTTGAATTTGTAATACCAATGCCTACTAAAAAAAAGGTATTGCACTCTTTTCTCGATTAATTTGAATTCGTAATACAAATGCCTTTTAAAAAGGAGGTATTGCACTCTTTTCTCAAAATTTTTTATAATATTTGTATTTTGAACTCGAAACTTCTAATTAAAAGATCATGGATCAGTGACATTCCACTATACCTCTCATCGGTGGGGTAATGCTACTTGATTAACTGTTTCTATTCATGTTGGAGAAATGATTAAGGAAGCTTTAATTTAAACACAGAAGTTTATAGGCTCCTTTGGGGCAATAGACAACCGACACCTAAAATTGACATCAATTTTCACTTAGACACTTTAGTTGAGACTTGTACTATTTAAACACTTGTAGTAGGATTGATTGTACCATTTACTCTACTATAGGTGTAAAAAATAGTGTCAACTTTAAATGTCTGTCGATGAATTCAACCTAATCAAATTGAAACAATGGCCTTTTTACGCCAAATTGACAGACAATTTGCAATTTTGATTATGTTGGTATGTCATTATCACTAATTAGAATTCCAGTACCCTTTAATTACTACGGATTAATTGAATATTCATTACTTTAATGTTGATTATGTTTATAAAGGTTACAAAGAGCAAAACAAAATAACGTTAAAGTTGGATAAACAAAGATGATAGTTCCTCGTACTTCAAAAACACCAACAAAGGAGTTTGTATCATGGGAAAAGATTAATGATTGATTTTGTTTATGTTATAAACCTTTTTATGTAGGGTATATACTTTATGGTTTGAATTATTAAAAAACAAAATCAAAGTTATGGTCCCACTAATAAATTAAATCCTTGTCGAAATTCAAATTAAAGTTGATTCTTCATTGATTTTGTTTAATGTCAAAGTGGTCAACACTATAATGCCAAGTACTAGTAGAATAGACTACTACTATAATTAAGACCAAGCTTTAAATAAATGATTAAGAAAAAACAAGAAGTTACTAGTAGGTTAGTTAAGTCCTTAGACTTAGCTTGATATTTTTATTGATTTTTCAGTGACATAATGAAGTTTTGATCATCTATTGGAAAGAAAAGACGAATGAATCTTGTTGAGTTTAATTAAATATATCTTACATTTCGTAAGTGACTGGGACATTGAAAATATCCAGAAATGCATTTCGTGAATCGATCTGATTTGGATTTTTTTTTTTGGTTATTGAACCTGTATTTGATTAATCAATGTGTGATATTTTGAATTCTAATTACTTGATATTTTCATGAAATATACTCGATGTAAACAACATAATAATATATCCAGGTAATCTCACTAGGTGGCGTCTGAAGAGATTAAGGTGTTGCACAAATTTTATCTCTATCCTATTGAGATAAAGAAGTTGTTTCCGAAAGATCTTCCACTCAAGTTATTCATAACAAAATAATATTAAAAATAACATGTAAATTAAAAATAACTTGTATTTCATGTGTTAAAAATTATTTGTCCATTAGTATTTTTGTGTGTGCACTTATACGGCTTAGCGATTATAAATATAAGGGAGATTAATTTCAAATCCTAACACATAAAAAAAATTATTTGGTGAGTTACTTCATTCGTCTAAGTTTTGACGTATAAAATCACTCTATATTTACGATGGTGAAAATTAACAAATACTTGATAAAAATATGTGCAAATTAGCGTGAAGTCCATGTTAATTTTACGTGTGTATATTTCGACTATTGCATTTCATATTGCTACTACATCATTAATTTACCTCAATTATTGAAATTTTATATAATACTACCAGTTATTAATTTAATTTAATGTGTCATTAACAGAGACATATTTTATAATGTTGTTATTTTTCTCATTATTGTGTCAAAATCCATCATCTTGACAACAAATTACTTTAAAATTGAACCTTCTACTTCCTTTTATATTTAATTTGAAAATACTCCATGTTGTTATTTAAATTTAAAATATTTTTACTGTAAATTCAATTATTAGTTTTTGTCTCATATTACATACTGTTAACCAATATTCTCTCTCTTATTCTTTATTGAATTTTTGTTTCTTCCATAAGGTTTGTTTGTAACAAAAGTACCGTTGGATATTGAATTACCCAAATTGCCCTTATTCCATGAAAATTCAAAAATTTCTACAACTATTTTATTGATGATATGTTATAAATTATAATATATAGTTACAAAATGTAACAAGCATGATAAAGTTTGGTGTAACCGATGAACTCTTTATTTAAAGCAAACATTATTACACATTTATGTAGTTTTATTATAAGGGTGAATTTTTCAAGTATAAAAAATAAAAAGAAATTAAAAGGCATTAAGAATTGATTCGTATTTTGATATAACATTTTGAAATAATTGTTTTTTTTTCCAAACAATTATGTAATTAATTATTGCGATAATTGACTTGTAGTTAATCTAATATGATAGTCTATTAGCTCTCACAATATCTTTCCTCTTTTCTATCTCTCATTTTTGTTTTGTTTTAATAAACTATAAAAAGATGTGTGATAAATCAAATATAATAAATTTCACATTTTTCATAAGAAATTCATATAATTACCCCTTGAGTATAATGAGATGGATGAAATATTCTTATGATAATCATAATTCTCAATTTCAAAGATAGAGAAATCTCAAATAATGAGACTTTCCTTTTAAAGGTAGAACCTTCATGTGGTGGCCAATTTCCACCATACTATCTAAAATATATATAGATCGTAAATTATTTCATTACTTTTATTGCCTGATATTTAAATTACACAAGTAATTCCGTAACTTTAACTCCATATGTATATATGTAACTTGAACGACATACGAATTTGAATTTAATTTTAATACAACTCAAATTACTAAAAAGAATATATAAATTTTAGACTATTTCTTTTTTGATAAGATTCATCAATGAGAAGTGAACAAGAACAAATTTACAAATTTCAATTTTCAAGGAGGGCAAATATGGAAAATGAAACCTTAATAAAATTATCTAAATTTAGAAATTTTCAAAAAAAAAAAAAAAACTAAGATGTGGGCCCCTCCACCCACTACCCCCATGTGAGTGTTTCTCTTTCTTCATCGTTTAAGCAAGCGGGAAAAAGAGAGAGAGAGAAAAGAAAAACAGAGCAGTAAAGGTTTGTTCACATTACAACGTTCGATTCCTCTTTTTGTTGTCGTTCTACCCCACCCCCCTCCAACCCCCCTACCCCGACACCGTTTTTCTTCACCATTTGTACGTGCTCAGTACTTTTCGGCTAACAATTTCCTCTTCTTCTGCCATTTCTGTTTTTCTTCACGCAAAACCCACAAAGAAATAATAATAAAAAAAGGTTCTTTTTTTAATTTGAACCAACCCAGTGATGAAGTAACACTGTTCGTGCTTCATTAGAAACGACATCGTTTTGTTCACTGGTACAGTGGTACTATACTTGTCAAGTCTTTTTTGTTTGTTTTGTTTTTAGTTAACTGATGCATTGTGATTTTCTCTTATTTGGGGTTCTTCTTTTATTTTGATTACAGAAGCAGATGTTCACTGAAGGTCTTGATAATAACGCCCTAAGGTGGGTTAGAGAGGTATTATTTCTCAATTTTATTTACCCTTTCTGTAATTTTGTCTTTTGATTCTATATGGGTTTGTGTTTTTTTTGTTTTATTAGGACTTTTAACTAAGTGGGGTTTCCCCATATTCTTGAAAGTTTGAATTTTGAAGTTTATGATGTCAGATTTTCTTTGTCCTGTTGTGGGAGGGATTTTGATTTTTGAAATTTGAAATTCAGCAAATGATGTGATGTTTATGAAGTGATTTGATTCTTGATTTTTGTTGCTGTCATTTGAAAATCAGGGTTCTGGGCAGCAGACTAAGGAGGTTCCTTTCTCAATTTCAAGCCAAGGATCAAGGATTGATCCAATTGGGAGTATGAGAAATGGGGGTCGCAATGTTGGGCTTCCACCGCCTTCGAAATTCCGGAGTGGTCATCTGTCGGGGGTTATTCCTGTATCTAGAGTTATACCTGCGGATTTAGATGATAGTGCGTCGGTTTCTGATAATGACATGATCACTGACTCGGAAGAGGAGGTTTATGGGGGGAGATACTCATTGGATTCATCACCACATGATGACAGAGTTCCTAGCACTACTGCAGCCACTCAGAGATACTACAATCTCCCACCTAGGCGTGGTGCTACGCAGTATGCAAGTGACAGTATGTACTCTGATGATGTTAGTTCGTCGATGGAGACGTTGGGGAGAGGTCGTGGACACGTGGTCGATAGATTGATGAGAGGCGCTAATAGATACCCAATTGGAAGTAGTGTGTATACTGAGGAGGAATCTTCTGATTCTGCTGCAAGCTCTGAGTTCTCTTCCACCCAAGTTGGGACAAAGAATGGAACTGTTCCACGATCAACAAATTATGCATCTGAAGGGTATGCTTCCAGCATTCCATCTAAATTGAATACAGGAAACAAGACTCAGAAGGTATTAACTTGTTTTAGCTATGTTTAAATTGAGTTACCAATTGTTAAACTAATGTATTCTTTGAAAATGGAATTAGCTTTAGAATTTGGTTATATTGAATAGTGCTACGATGTTTTTATTCATAATTGAAGCAGATATCCTTTAAGGAATATCTGATGCTCCTCGCTAATGGTTGTCATAAGGTTTCTTGAATGTGCTCTTGTGTGATGTCTTCGTCCGCACTCTTACTTTAGATTCTGTGCATTGCCATTTCTAAGAAATATGAATCTTAATTTTTCATCTTCCACGACTTAAGACTTAGCAATAAAGGATGTGACGTAGTGGTCATTGAAGTGGGTTAAAAAACCTTGAGGTCTCAAGTTCAAATCCCTTTAGAGTCAAAAATACTAGGTGATTTCTTCTCATTTGTCTTAGTCGAGGTGCATGCAAACTGTCCGGGGCACCATGGTTATATAAAAAGAGAGATTATGTGACTATTTTTTTTTTTGATAAGGAATTATTCGACTATTTACTATAAGGAATCATTGTCTATCTGAGAAAATAACTGTGTCGTGTGTTTATGACTTGGAGTTCCTCAACTAGGCAGAATTGTAATTCTGAGTTTACATTGCGAAGTTTTCAATTGACCTTGTTCTATGATTTGCTGGTGAACAGATTATGTAATACCAATGGTTATGAATGCCTTTTACGTTCGAACATTATCTTGAAGATGAAAAATTGTGGGGACAAAAAGTTCAAACATTTTATGCATGAATGTGTTATCATTTTTAGATGAAGTTGATAATTATATTAGTATATTGGAAAAATCATCTGTGTACAAGCAGTATACCAAATAGTAGAGAATCTACAATATAATATGATCGGAACGACACCCAGTCTTCTATACAAACAAGAATTTTGTGGTTGCACCAAAAAGAAGTTAGGAATGATAGGTAATTCCTCAAAAATACACAGTTGTTCTCTACACCTACTAAAGCTCTCCTATTTCTTTTCTCTCATGGACTCACATGAGTGCCAAGGGTGAGACATCCCTCGCTCTTCAACTTCTCTTCCTTCTTATGAGCCTCCTTTACTGTGCTGGGCATTGTCCTTTGCAGCCTGAACCATCTCAAAATCTCACAGCACGAGCGAGTTGTCACCTGACAATGTAAAAGGAGGTGGTCACATCTTCAAATGAAGCCCAGTCGACATATGTAATCCTTTTTATTCTCAAATTTTGAGCTGTCAGGTGTTGCTAGACAAGTAAAAGAGCACACCTTTCAAACTGATAACTGTGAATTGTTCGATTCCTCCTTCACCAAGAGGTTATGATAATATTACTGTACTATAAATGATCACCAAGTCTGATTAGCTATTATTGACGGCTACGTTTTCCTTTTCCACTTTGCCGATTGTTTCCGAGTTGAATTTAAATTGTTCTACTTGTGCAATGGATTTTTTCTCATGTACTTGCGTGGTTCCTCATATCTTCTAGAGAACAGACACTCTCTGGTGAAGCTAATTCAATCACTTTCAGGATATGACCTCTGGGAATTTACAGAAGAAGGTCACTGATGAGGATGTCCCCAGTGCACCTCCATTTTGCAGTTCTGCTGCTGAAATCAAAGAAGTTGATGAACGGATCCCTGCCTCTAGAACAGCTAATGTGCAATCTATGGCAGAAGATTGTGGTCTCTCAGCAAAGGCAGATAGTAACATTTCTTCTGGCATAAACCACCAGGCCAAAGTTCCAAATCATTCCGACTCACCTGTGAGGTTTGTTCACGAACCAGTTACAAAACCTAAAGCTTTATCTTTTCCGCTGGCCATAGTGCCTTTCTTCTTTGAAAGAACAATACTTCCTGAATTTCAGCTTATATCTGCTTACACCTGTTTTTCAGGACGACTGCTGCTGCTGCAGAAAATGGAGGGCCATTGGGTTCTTATCCCGCTCGCCTTCCAACTTTTCATGCCAGGTACCTTTACTGTTAACACAAAACAAATTTACAACGTATAGTTACTTTTCCAGTATTATCAGTGATGATTTTCTATCCAATATAGTGCATTGGGCCCATGGCATCGCGTGCTCGCCTATGATGCGTGTGTTCGGCTCTGCTTGCATTCTTGGGCTAGGGGTTGCATAGAAGCTCCGATGTTTTTGGAAAGTGAATGTGCTCTCTTAAGGAATTCATTTAGGTCAGTTTTTTTCTCCTGTTCCACACTATTGAGCAGTTGCTATGATCTTTTCTGGCTTTAGTGTCATTTTGGGAAGAAGTCTATAACAATCACTGAGATGATTTATAGCTGTGTTCAACTTTCGTCTCCTATATGGATTTACAGGTTACAGCAAGTTCTGTTACAATCAGAGGAGGAATTAATGGCAAACCGCTCTTCCGAGCTTCCTAAGGAAGCGGCTGCCCCAAAACCTAAGCAAATGGTTGGAAAGATGAAGATCCAAGGTAATCCATGGTATTTACTTGCAATATTTCAGGGTAATACTACTGAAGATTCTGTTGTTGACCTTTTTCTGATTTTGCAGTTAGGAAGGTTAAGATGGGCCTGGACCCACCCACCGGCTGCAGTTTTTCTTCCCTAAGAACACCAAAAATAAAGATTGAATCTGTTAGATATCACCTATCCAATATGCGGTCATCAATCTCTTCCGGATGGCGAGCGATGCGCAAAGTCCATTTTGCTCCTCGTGTGCCTGCAAATGGTTCCTTCTCGCGCCAGAGTTTGGCATACATGCAGGCGAGCACCCAATATATAAAGCAAGTTTCTGGACTCCTGAAAATTGGTGTGACATCTCTCCGCAGCAGTCCATCGTCTTATGATGTTGTTCAAGGTAAAGAAGTTCATTTCTCTTGAATGTTGATTCTTGTATTGTTAGTTTAGGTATCACTCATCCTGTAGATGCGTGTCACTTTTAACCCATTTGAGGTACAGTAAAAACTTATTGTTCTAATCATTTTAGTTTCAGCTGTTCCTGAACAAAATTATCTCAACATCCTTATTTATCTCCTTGATAAATTATCAACAATCCGTCCATTATAAATAGTTGTTTCACTTACAATATGGACATGTTAATCCTCAATTATCAAGCACCAGATATACATTCATAGACTTTTGTAGTATGTGAGAGAGATTCATTCTTGTTTAACATTATTAATCCAAGTTGACTAAATTCTTCTGTTTATTCTGTGATTAGTCTGCTTTTACCATATAAATGAATTCTTTAGGTTGATATGCTTTTTTAAGGAGGTTATAATTGTATTAAAAGAGCACTAAGTAACTGCTGCAATAGTATTTACATCAGTAGCCCTGACTGCACAAGAATTCTTGAACCCTAAAAAAAAAACGTGTATCCCTGTCATTCCCCTGTAGGACCTCTCTATGAAACCTATCATACTTACCTCATCATTTACATATTCTTCTTTTACACCAAAATGGTTATAGCAGAAAACAATTAATTTTGATCTTCTGGTGGAGCAGTTTTTGTCTTCAAACAATCTTGACTTCTCTCTTCCCATATTGTCTACAAAACGCTAGTAAGAATGGTGCTTATTTTCTTGTTCATTTCTGGGCTGCTACAATAGCTTAGAAGGTTGTAGGGAGTAGGAACTGTCTCACATAACTCACTGAAACCCCGTGATGTTCAAAATAGTTGCCATTTCTGAGATACACTCCTGCGATGCAAAATTTAATGGGAGATGGTTTCTGATTCTATTTAACTATGGCGTCCTGGCAAGCTTGCCCGCAGATATCTTACAATGTTATTGATCTTAACAAGCTAACAAAACTAAAAATGCAAAATCGAGATTAAGCGCAGTTCAAGTTGTTACACTGTTCTCAGTAAACAGTGGGTTTAAAATAATTGGTCTTATGAGAAAATTGTATGTTCTTGACCTTTGTTTAACCCTCATTTGCTTGTCATGCTTCTCACTTTTCAAGGGCATAAGTGGCACAAATTCTGTGACCATAGAGGCGCTTTATTTTTACTAAAACTTATGTAATATAATGATTCTATTTACTATATGTTATCTCACCCATGAAACCTAATATGTGATCAGAGACATACCATTGTTTCTTACGACTAAAAAGTTCAATGGAAGAGGATGCTATTAAAATGCAACCTGGATCAGGCGAAACCCACATTTTGTAAGCTTTTCTTCGTTCGTCATCCTATTTTCTTTCTATAGAATTCTGTTAAATGCATATTTTGTCTCTGAATAACTGCTATAATTTTTGGATTGTAATGTGAACACTGTACCCTCTCTACCTCCACGAGTAGGGGTAAGGATTGCTTACACTCTTCCCTCCCCACACCCCACTTGGGGATTTCACTGGGTATATTGTTTTTTATGTGAACATCTTTACAGTTTTCCAGATAATCTTGGAGATGATCTAATTGTTGAAGTACTGGATTCCAACGGAAAGCATTATGGTCGTGTCCTTGCTCAAGTTGCCACCATTGCTGAAGAACCGGTAAACGTGTCTGAATTCAACTTAGTTATCAACTAGAATTATTGCTTCAGTTAGCTCATGATTCTTAAAGTTAAGTTCTATTCAGGGTGAGAAACTTCGGTGGTGGTCCATCTATCGTGAACCAGAACACGAGCTTGTTGGCAAAGTGCAACTCTTTATTAATTACTCAACAGCATTTGATGAAAATAGTCATCTTAAGGTGAGTTTGTCATCTTTACTAGCATTTCTACAACTGAAGGATGAGTAAAGAATTGTTTCTCTGCATTGGCTTCATGTAGTTATGCTTACTAGATCTGGGAACGTGTGTTGCACGTTTATCCCAAAATACTCCATATAAATTTTGTATTGCAAATGACCTATTTTATCCCCTTCAAATCTTTGGTATTTACGAAAAAAATCCATCATTGTCTCGATAGGAACTACATATATCTTCCTAATAAAAAGAATATACCTTTAACTGTAAAATTGACTAAAAGTGCATAAAGTAAAAATAACTAACTATTGCACAAATTCAATATTCAAATGAGGATACTTAAAATACCATATGCTAGGCTAATTATACAAAGCAACAATAGAAAACAACAAACATTTATGTTTCTTGTTTGTACAATAACAACAAACAAGAAACAGAAATGTTAAACTAAACAAATAAAAAGAGACAAGAGAAGAGAGCATAGAGATTTTTTCATGTTTTTTTTCCCAGTTGGTTTAATTGTGTACATTATTGTGTCAAATGTCACTATTTATAGGATAGCATTGAGGAACACAAAGAGTTTTCATAAATATGATATTAATCCATTTGAGATTATCAATGAGAGATGAGAGTAAAAAACATAATGAATATAATTAGTGGGAGTTGAATACATTTACATAATGAAGAGTTGGTGGTAATTTATGTATACTAATATGATGATTTACTATTTAATATTTAATTTATTAAACAATTTATAACATTTAAATGTAATGTAGAAATAAAATTGTAATCTAAGGATAAAATATGTAAAAGAATTCAAATATATTAAATGTGTAATGGAAAATCATTATGACTAATTATTAAAAAATTCATAGTAACTAAGTTGCATACATTTACATAATGAAGAGTTGGTGGTAATTTATGCATACTAATATGATGATTTACTATTTAATATTTAATTTATTAAACGATTTATAACATTTAAATGTAATGTAGAAATAAAACTGTAATCTAAGGATAAAATATGTAAAAGAATTCAAATATATTAAGTGTGTAATAGAAAATCATTATGACTAATTATTAAAAAATTCATAGTAACTATTATTATGAAAAATCATCACTATTACCAAATGGAAGATGTAAAGATTGTTGATTTTTTCTTGCTAATAATAACTTACAATTTAATAAATGAGTATCGAATTGTAAGTCTAGTTGGAAATAGGAGTGTTAATTACCATAATACGAACAATCAAAATTCATTGAATCCCAAAATAAATATTAAATGAAAAAATAATATTTTAAATTATTTCAAGAAAATAAATTAATAGTTAAAGGGTATTTTCGTAATTCAACTTTTGACTTAGATTCTTCCCACTTTTAGTATAAAATATATATATAATAATCTATAATATATAATATAAAATATAATATAATATAATATAATATATATTATATGAATATGAATATGAATATGATATGATGACATGATTGAATTGCATCTGACGTTTGTATTTTGGAGAGGGGAAAAGAGCCAATAATGCGCTTTGTTTTGAATCAGTATTTGTGGACTTCCGTGGAAATTGGGTGTGCCTGTTTTGTCATCCCCCCCCCCACACACACACACACACTCAATTAAGATGATTTGAAACTGACTTGTTCATTTCCTGTGACTGCATATTTAAATGATATTTCTGGACCTCTTTTGTCTTTGACTTATGATTGATAATGCATTCCTCTTATAATTTTTTATCTTAGTGGAGTTCCTCTGTGGAAATTTATAATGACTTCTATTGTCTGTCCATAAAATGATTTGCTATGACTATGACATTTCTACTCAAAAAGTTTTGGGAGAAAATAAAAGCATAATCACAAAATGAATTTCTGTAATCTGACACTTTTTTGGTTTCTTCCTATCATAGTGTGGTTCAGTTGCAGAAACTGTTGCTTATGACCTGGTACTTGAAGTTGCAATGAAGATTCAGCAATTCCAACAAAGAAATTTGACACTACATGGTCCATGGAAATGGTTGCTCACTGAATTTGCATCATACTATGGAGTTTCTGATGCATATACTAGATTAAGGTACGATATATTTACATCTACTTGTTTTAGGTGCTTGGAGGAGTTTACCCACTTCCTTATTATGTGCATAATTATTTTGCAACATCAACTGTGCAGGTACCTTTCCTATGTCATGGATGTGGCAACACCAACTGCTGATTGTCTTACAGTTGTGCATGATTTTTTGTTACCTGTTATAATGAAGGGCCGTTCTAAGAGCACCCTTAGTCATCAAGAGGTAACACTTGTAAACAAATTGAATCTGATATATTCCATATTGCAGATTGGACATTGATACTGTTTTGTGTCTTTAAGATTCCAAGTTATTCTGTGACTTCATTGTCTTCAACAAAGTTGTATTCTATGTCTGTGTTTCTTTATAAAAGAATGGTCTACAATTTGCTCACGTATCTCTCATAAGTACTGACATTGCACAGTGTTACTTGCTGCTTACAGAATCGTATTTTGGGGGAAATTGAGGACCAGATTGAACAGAGCTTTGCGTTGGTTTTCGAAAACTATAAGTCTTTGGATGAATCAACACCATCGGGTATAATGGATGTCTTCAAACCAGCTACTGGGGTTGTACCACTTGCATTGGAGCCTGCTGTTAAACTATTTTCTCTACTTCATGACATATTATCTCCTGAAACTCAGAACACACTGTACAGCTATTTTCAGGTCTAGAAGCTGGCACATATCTCTATATATCATCTGTTTTTATCTGCTCTTTTTGGCATAAATATTTGATTGCACAGGCTGCTGCGAAGAAAAGATCAAGACGACACTTGACAGAGACAGATGAATATGTCAGCGGGAATAATGAAGGACTCTTGATGGATGCTGTTACCGTGTCTACTGCTTATCAAAAAATGAAGTCACTCTGTATGAACATAAGAAACGAAATTTTTACTGACATAGAGATCCACAATCAAAATATACTTCCAAGGTATTTCTGATTTTGAACTATACTGAGGCTATTATGTGTCTAAAGTAAACATTTTGAGATTGATTAGTAGTAGCACAGGCTGTTACTCACATCGCTCAAATCATATATGTGAAGATGGTAAAGTGAATTGACTTTTTGACAAAACAAACATTCACATTATTAAGTGTCATGCATTGGTTAAGAGGAATGTGTTGTTTCCATGTCTTGAGCAATCCTTCACCGCCTATGCTAACTTTTGAGGTTGTGTTAGGCTTAGAGTCTATTTTTTTGACATGGTATCAGAGCCAGACTATCCCTATTCTAGGAGTTCAAGTTAGAGGGCATATGAATAAGAAATAGCATATGATGAGATTGGTCAATCTTTCTCGTTGCTTGACTAAAGTATACATAGTGTTGGGCCCCATGTTGTCCTTGCATAATATGTTTAGTCCCAGGTTGCAGAAGGGTATTTAACGTCTCAGTTGACTGAGGAATGGACTGTTGTCTCTCTGTATGGTTTGGCAAACCCGATGTCTGTTTTTCTTAACAGACTTGATCCTGTGTCCTCCCCCCCTCCCTCCTCTTCACCGCCTTTCTCTCTTGTGCTTATGTTTTACATGTGCGTTTCTCCTTTCATGAATAAAACCGCTAAGCATTTTCTTGTTGACAAGTCTTAGGTGCATTTCTTGTACAATCGACGAGTCCAATATCAAGTTTTTTTTTCCATTAGTTGTCATTTCTTGCAACATTCCTAACTGCTTCGATGTTTGCAGCTTCATAGACTTGCCAAACCTTTCTTCAGCCATATATAGTGCAGAACTTTGCTGTAGATTGCGTGCATTCCTGATCGCTTGCCCCCCTGCTGGCCCTTCTCCCCATGTGACTGATCTTGTCATTGCAACAGCAGATTTTCAGAGGGATCTTGCCTGCTGGAATATCAAGTAAGTCTTGCCTCATAGGTGCACTTTTTAGTGCATAAGATCTATATGCTTAGTGGTGTAATTTTTGGTGAAACGGCCTGTGCAGACCTGTTAAAGGAGGAGTTGATGCAAAAGAGTTGTTCCATTTGTATATCATCCTGTGGATCCAGGATAAGCGGCTCTCTTTGCTGGAATCTTGCAAGCTGGACAAGGTACTAACTGAGGATTTCACAGGCACTGTTTAAACCCTTGCTTTACCTACTCTCTACTGGTCTGGCCCTAATATCCCTCCATTAAGATGAACCATCTCATATGATCTATGTGTTTGGTGTGATTATTTTCCAGACAGTCTTTTCTTTTTAACTTAGCATCTGATGCTAAGTTAGATGCTATTTTCTTTTTATCCCTGTCAAATAACATAGCATCCGATGCTATTTTCTTTTTATTAATTATTATTATTTGCATTTAGTCTTTTGTAGTAAGCTGGTCAATGCCTTTTCATTATATATGTTTGTAGCTTCTCTATTATGCTGCACATGTAAACTTGCAATGTAGGTGGATGGTATCCAGGAATCCAAGGGTTGAGATGTTAAAATCTAGATTAGGCTCCTTAATTTCAGTAGTCTAACAGAAGCATAGGTGGAGCTTGAAAACATTGAGCCTTCATTTGTATATCAAGATAGTTGCTAGAACACTTTTTCTTGAAAATTTTGCAATGCAGTTAGGAGATTCAGAATCATTTTCTTGCATGTGTGTGTTTGAGAGGAAAATGAAATTCTAAAATAAGAAGAGATTGTAAAAATACTGCACTCTTTGCAGGTTTAATTTTGGAGGGAAGTTTTCAACTTGCTGCTTTCCTGATGCAATGTAAAAATGTTAGCAACTAAACAGGCTTTTGTAATTGATAACTACTAAGGTCTAGACTTGTTTTTCCTTCTTTTTAAGATGGGCTAATTCTTACATTTAGCAATGGGGATGGAAAGAATTTATCAAGATGGGCCAATTCTTAGTTTTTTAAGATGGGCCAATTTTTGCTTGCTTAGATGGAAAGAAAAATTGACTCTTTACGCTACTGACAGCTTTCTTGGTTCTGCTTCAAGTTAATCTAGGAGTTGGTTATCACTGGTTTTCACTTTCTGCTGATCTGCTCTATCCTTCATTCTTCTTGATTGGTGCTGAATTAACTCCTTTATCTCACAGGTGAAATGGTCGGGAGTGAAAACACAGCATTCAACAACCCCTTTTGTTGATGAAATGTACGAGCGCCTGAAAGGAACTCTTAATGACTATGTGATCATCATCTGCCGCTGGCCAGAGTACACATTTGTATTGGAGAATGTATGCCCTGATTATTCTTGTTTCTCTTTTACTACTCTGCATGGAAATATACTATTGTAGGCAGTCGCCCCACACTTGCTGAAAAGCCTGTTGCATTTCTTTTTACCGCACCATTATAAACCGTCAAAAGGATTCATTAACAGACTAAATTGACAGTGAAACAGTAGTAATTGAACATCACTTCCTCGATACTCTCATTATCTTGTGCCCAGTGTGGGTATACCAGTATATAGTCTCTGGTCTCTGTCAGTGCCAAAGTTGATTTATTTATTTGCTGAAAAGGACTGGTATATTTGGACTTCTCCATTGCAACATTGTATGAAAAGAAAAGAAACTTAATAATGCTTGAATTTTATTTCATTTTCATTTTTCTCCTTGCTTCATTTTTCTTTTTCTCCTGGAAGTGAAGAGAGATTGAGATGAAGGAATCAAATAGGCAGTAACATACTGGCTGTTGTTGCACTATGTTGTTCATCTTACAATTTATTCATTTTTTGGTTATTTGAAACTACTCTTTTTTGTTTTGTAGTTGACAATTTTTTTTATTTCTCTTGATGTATAAAGGCCATTGCTGATATTGAGAAAGCAATTTTGGATGCACTGGAGAAGCAATATGCAGATGTCTTGTCTCCGTTAAAGGAGAATTTGACACCCAAGAAATTTGGCTTCAAATATGTGCAAAAACTTACCAAAAGATCAGTTTGCCCATATATTGTGCCAGAAGATGTAAGCATCCATGCTTATCTGCCCTTCATCACATTTATATTTCATATTTTTAGGCCTGAAACGTGTTCCTTCTTTCAGCTGGGCATTCTTTTGAATTCAATGAAGAGGATGCTAGACATTCTGCGCCCAAACATAGAGCAGCAGTTTAAGTCCTGGGGTTCGTGTATCCCTGACGGAGGAAATACCGCCCCTGGAGAGTGCCTGAGTGAGGTGACTGTGATGCTTCGAGCTAAATTCAGAAATTATGTGCAAGCGGTCATTGAGAAGCTTGTGGAAAATGTAAGTTTGCTCTACATTTTGGTTAAATCTAAAACTAAAAGGAATACACACAGATAATGCACTTCTCTCTATATATTTGTCACTACTTACTGAAACCTTTCAACTGATTACGTGATTCTCCGTATGAGATTTATCAATAAAAGTATCATGAAACTTCAGAAACTAATATAAAAGGGAGAGCTAAGTGTTTGGTCAGGATAACATCAGTGCACATGATGCAATTAGCAAAGTCTTCTAAGTGCGGACTCGTAGGATCTGTTAACCGCTAATTTGCTATCTTGAAAGTTCAGTCATTAACAGTAGGCTCTGTTATGCTGATCTTATGTGGCGGCTTTAACATCTATGTCATTCATTTCATAAAGAAAACTCATAACTGATACCCATAATGGAAAATGCATAAGTAGCTCCAGTCAAATTCTGCACTTATATCTCTTTCAAACTAAAGCCATACACTGACTACTAAACAAATATCACCGTTCCTGCTTCAGACAAAGCTGCAGAACAACACAAAGTTGAAGAAAATTTTACAAGATTCCAAGGAGAATGTTATAGAATCAGACATAAGATTTAAGATGCAGCCATTGAAGGAGCAGCTGACAAGTACCATAAATCACCTTTACACCATTTTTGAACCTAATGTATTCATCGCAAGTTGTCGAGGCTACTGGGACAGGATGGGACAGGTTAGTGTTGGTTGAACTTCTGGTTGATAGCTTATTCTTCATTTTCGTGTGAAAAATTCATACTAATTTCAATCTGATGTAGGACGTGCTAAGTTTCTTAGAGAGCAGGAAAGAGAACCGGTCTTGGTACAAGGGCTCACGAATTGCAGTCTCTGTAAGTAGCAACGTGTCGTTTTTCTAGGACAAAGTGCATTCAATTACTATATGTTTCATCATTTTATGTACTTGACATTTGCAGATCCTAGATGATACCTTTGCCTCTCAGATGCAGCAGCTTTTAGGCAATTCGCTTCAAGAGAAAGACCTTGAGCCTCCAAGGTCCATTCTTGAAGTGCGATCAATGCTTTGTAGGGATGCATCAAATAACAAAGGATCAAATTACTTTTACTAGATGTAATTATGTATAGGTTTCCTATTCAATTTTGTTTCTTTTTGGTTCCGGAAACAGAAAGAGGAAGAAGGGTGTCGTTGCCATAGCCTATAACCTATAGCCTACAGGTGGATTCGCCTCAGATTAGGGAGGACCACGGTGAAGATGTTCTCTCTTGTGGTTTTTAGGCCTGCTACAGAAGAATAGAAAATAGCGTCTCTCAGTCATTTTTGTTGTGGGGGCAGGTGACTCTACTGCTCCATATATAAAAGACGTATACCTTGTAATTCACATTTTATCAAATATCTACATCATCTTGAGCATGTCTTCTGCGTATTGTGTTCTTCCATGACTGCACTCGCTCTATCTACATATGCAGAAGCATTCAAGAATCACTTTGACATTTCTTATTTCAATTTTCCGACTCTCATTTGGTTAATTGACTTGATCACAGTAACTGCTTGACTCGCGTAAGAAAGAGTTTGAAGTGCCATACGAAGAACCTTTAAAAATCATCCAGGATCATATAAAAATTAATTCATAACTTATGAAGTATTTGTCGATACATCTTACGTAGTTAACTTCTAAACTTTAATCTGCAAAATTCTTTCTCAAGTGTTATTTTTTTTTTTCCTATTCCAACTCAAAATTGTCTAAATGCTTACTAGATATCATTGATTAACCTTTTTCTTCGAGCTGAGCGGTTTATGTATAAACAAGTAGATGGAAGCAAGTGGTCAATCAACATTCTTACATTCGTGTTTTTTTTTCCTCAATTTCGAGTCTAACGTCCAATCTGCCTGTTTGAAATTAAGCCAACAAGCATTAGGGCAAATAAAATAAATAGTCAACACTCACACTCCACAACTGGAACGAGAGAGCTGTAAGGCGGTAAATTACTAAATAATTCAGAAGGCATCATGATCAACTGCGATCAGTAGAGAGAATCAATAATCAAACAAGATCATCAGATTAAGCCCAATCAATCTGCACGCAGGCTATTCAATTGGCGAAATATTTACATGATTAAACAAAGAATGACATTTATATTACACGTTAACGAACCAACAACCTAATCCAGAGGGCACAAGCAAATGTTACAACGTGCAGGCGAAGCCTTGGGATTTCAGCTAAGCCAGAACTGCTGCTTATAAGAGCTTTGATATAACACGGCAGGAAGTCCAGAATGCTGCTGATGCAGCTCTTAGAATAGCTGGGTTTTGGTATATCCTGATAAAAGCACACATATTTAGGCAATGATATCAATAAGACTTGCATTCGCTAGGATTTACTAGTATCCTTCAATCTTCCGAAGAGGCATTAAATATCATACTAAACAAATAAATCGAGAATATGCCAAGGATAGAATTCAGTTTAGTCTATTAACGCAAACATCAATTTCCGATTTGGCAACAACTGATGTATCATGCTATGCAAACTAGCTCAAGATTAGAGCACAAAGAAGATTCTACATGACCACTCAGTCCCTTGTTTCTTTCCAATTCACATTCAATCAGTTTTGAAGACGATTGAAACTGATTTCTCCCCTTCTCCACATTCATGGATTATAAACTTATAATAATCTAGCAATGAGCACAGTTTGACAAACTTGGGTGCAGCTTAGAGTATAGTGGGATTATACTGGGTATGTTGTTTATTTTGTTGTTGAGTACAGCTTAAAGTGTAACATGTTTATATTCTTTTTGGTTTCTCCTCTTATATGGTGTTTTGATTTGGGAAACCTAGTGATAACCCATTATGATGACGTGGCAGGAGCTTTAATTGGAGAGAATCTGTCCAAGAAAAGCGAGAGAATACATGGAGCTGAAAGACTACAGGCTCATTCACCAAGGCTAAAAGATTTCCTTGCTTAATAAGTGTCTGGAAATTGTTTTGCACTTCTTAAGCTATAAGCACTAGTTTAGCCCTTGCTGTAGTCTGCAGTGGGAAGAAGATTATGTTCAGCTGTCTTTCTATTCTGTTTCCACCTTACAATGAGCAAAACATGCTTTGAAGTTGTTATTGAAAGAACAAGTGCAGACAAGGAAAGAAACAACTTTCCTCAAAAAAACATTTTACACAGAATATTGTCATCTCTGAGTACATCAGACATGGAGATAGAAGAGAGCAGAACTATTTTACCCAATTTTGAAAAAGAGATAGCAGAACTACTTTGCTGAATCAAATAGGTTGGCTTACCCAATAGCTGTAGCCCCCCAAGATGCTACATTGTAAATAACTTTGCTTCCATCCCATGCCTTTCGGAGCTTTCCTTTCTTCTTTTTCAAAGAGAATGTCTTGCTGAGAGCTGTGAAGAAAATCTAATGTCACTTTCCTCGATCCAACTTTTAAAAATGAATTGAATCAGAGTGAATGAAAACAAGAGTTTTCTTTTATAAGTATCCTTAGAAGAAATGTGGGAAGAAAGCAAGAAATTCAACTAACCATCTTGGAGTTGGTTTGGTGTCAAATCCTGCACAAATTAGTGCAAAGAATTAAACCTCCTAGAGAGGAGGAGACACTAAAAGTAACTTTGAACAGTAATTGTGATTATCTTTCATCCTATATAATGATACGAGAGCCGTGAAACTATTCATCATGAATCAGAACAGCGAACTCAAAACACAATTGGCACTGGAAAATTATTTTCAATCTTATCGACCAAAATTGATCAATTAGTCAACTAATATCTTTTTTGACAATTTATCAACTAATGCTCTTACATCAAGGTCCTTTCTGACCAAAACACAGAGATGTGAAATGACATTCAGCAAGACAAGTGAGCAGATTTTGGAGAAGAGATACTCCCTCTGTTTCTTCATTTTATGTAACATCATTTTTTTTTTGAAAAGGACTTTATGTAACATCATTTGATAAGGTAGACAATCGAAGATGTCGATTTCAGTTTCGTAACATATTACTATTGGTGGAAACAACATAAGGATGGTTATTGAAAAGAGAACTTAATGGAAAAAACATCATATCAAATTCTACTTTGAACAGTACAAAGAAAAAATAATTGAAGTTTGTTCAAGCAATATAAAAACTATTTGTAACATAGTTGTCGAAATCCAACTTTTAAATTGTGTCATAATTTGGGGGAGAGGGGATAGCATTAGATCTTTGCAGGCTTTTAGTGGCTTACTATAGAAGGAATTTCTTCAGACTACAGAAAGCAAATGACCTGACTATTAGGAGAACCAGGAGATTGATTTTTTGATGAAGTAAGATGTTGTATTAGAAAGGCATCAAGAAGATGCAAATTACATACACAAAAATATGGTTAACTCCTGAGAACAAAAACACCTATTTAATCAGGGAGTTACAGCAGAAAGGTTTATCTACTAGGACTTCTCCGCTAAGATTGCTGTGAGCCACTCCACAAAGTCTATCTTTCTAATTTTAATAAGTTTCTACTTTCGAGGAAAGTAAATTATGAGTGGAGTAGCAACTATATCATTCTCTTATGTCTAGAGGGCGACAAAGTACAAACAAACTGCTAAGATAAGGATAAGAACACAAGAAAATGACAGAGATGATTAAAACTAGGTAAACATTTTCTTTATGAAGTCAAAAGGTAAGCAATTTAATGAATTGAAATAAACACATTTACAAGGAAAACCAAAACACTGGATGTTGCATTGAGCTATGTTTTAACTTGAGGAAATAAAGGAAAGAACCAACACTTTAAGGAGCAAGAAGATCGGGCCTGTTTCTTCTAAGGAAACATACATACCTTAGTCTGCTTAAGAGATAGCAGGTATGCAGCCATAAAGCAAGCTATACCATCCACTATATCTTCTTGCCTAACTAAAACATAGTCTTCTCCGTCTAACTCAGGATCTCCACCTTCCCAAAGGTCATTCTCATTGACCATGTCCCATGAACTTCCTTCTTCTACAACACAATAAAAAAGGAAGCTATTACTACCATGATCCCACTTGAGAAGGAAACTGATAAGACTTCAGGTACAGTTACCAACTTTCTGGAAAACATACCAGCTAAGTTTTGTGGAACAGATGCTTGAGCATTTTCTAGCTTTTGAAGGAAATCTGAGCATTGAACTCTAGATTTCAGGAGATCTCGCAGCTGCACAACAAAAGAGACGCGCAAAACGCACTTTCAAACTTTTTGCCGTGGTTGATGTTCACAGAATTTAAATTAAACAAGTGGATTGCCTAAATCCATCTATCCAAACAATAGAATGGGACAGTGGCATTGGTCTGCTTGAATCACTAATAGTCAATCATTATTCAATACAAGTGAAATTAATGCATCTGCTAGTTGAATAAGAAACCAGCAATCTTCAATAGCAAATATTGTATGTAATAACTTATAAAAGCATAATAAGGATGACCAACTCAAATAAACTAACATAGTACATGCCAATTCTTTTACTATGCAATTAACGTTGCGCATCAACTCAAAGTCCGAAACTAAAAACCCTTTTAGAGATTAAGGCAGCAGTACAAGTACAAAAACTGTCTCAAATTAGAACCACAAAATAAATGCAATTATGATAATTATAGCAGTGATATTCAAAAGCACCTTACAGTTCTCTGACTATGATGAGTATACGGAAGTACATACAGCTTGATTTCTACAACTCTCCTGATATAACCTAATATTTGCTAATAGGACTTTCTAGCTAACTTAGCATATATAACCATATGCTTTACATCTCTTCTCTATTTTTTTCTTCAATCGAAGTAGATGAATTTTCAAATTTCTCAGCTACAGTTAATCGCTGTATAATCTCTTTTCCAGCTCAGCTCATGTTTTACATTAAAAGATGCCAACTAAATCAATTCAAACACTTTTTAGCATATATACAAAATATTTCACAGCGAATACAGCTGAAAAAGAAATTAACAACTACTATTTCACAACTATTGACAGAATTACAAATAATTAACGCTGACCTCATCGGTCTCAACATCCGCAGACGGAGTAGAGGAGCCTTGACCGGAATCTTCCAAAGCATCCTGGTCAACATCACTGCTAGAATTGGATTCATCGGTGTCATCCTCAACGGAACCAGTAGTACTAAGCAATTCAAGAGCTCGTTGGCATTCCTGCAGCACAGCCTCGAGCGTTTTTCTCTTCACCTTAATCCGATCCTGGTTCGATTTAGCTCTCACCAACTGGATCGGCTTTGTACCTGTCACCTCAACCACCTCCATGCCCCTAACAATTCAAACACACATATACATACACAAAAAAAAAAGAAGTTTCGCCGGTATGTATATTGTAGAGATAGAAGGAAAAACTGCAGATAACGATAGTTAAATTTATCGGAATTGCAGAAATTGATTGAAAACCTCCATGGATTTTGAGGTTTTTTTTTAAGAGAAGATGGAATTTGGGAAAAGGGCAAAAAAAGGTGAATTGTAGAAAACGAATTTGGGTGAACAACAATAATTGGACTCCGTGTTCAAGTGGTGGCGTGAGCCGCCTGCGTTTTGTTACGAAATTGTTTTTACGTTTTTAGGGCCCAAAATGAGGTGCGCCTACGTTCATGACGTGGGGGATATGTGTCATTTGTATTATAGGTATTTATTTTGGATGTTACCCAGGTGGTGGAGAAACAAGTCAATATTGGTTTTTTTTTCTAAGCTTTTCGTATAGTTTCATAATAAATTATATTGTGTTATATTATACTATAGTATGATGAGGTAAAACTATTATTTATAAAAAAATTAAATAAAGTGAAGTAAAAGGCGAAATGAGAAAAAGAAAAAAGTAACAATGTGATCACATAGAAATTAGATTTAACAATACAATCATACGAAATAGGATTTTTCATCGTTATCTAATGAAATATGTAACAAAATGATAACAATTAATCAAATACTATTATATTTAAACTAACAATACAATAGATAACGACATCTAAACAAAGCTTAAGAGTTCCATAAGCTATCATGTAAACTTTTGTATCATTATTATTAATAATATCCATCTCATATTCTCTCCGTTCATAAAAAGGTTCACCCTTATATTAATCAGAAACAAACTTTGATTTAATTCAATATTAGAATTGTTCAAGAACGTATAAGAAGATTAAATAAATTCATCATCATTAATATGAAAACTCAATATCCTGCATGTTCGGACTTAGATATCAATCATATAAATAATATAAAATTGACGCCCAATATTAAATAAAATCATAAATTGAAATGAACCTAATTCTATTTATCGAGATAAGAAACAAACCTCGAGTCTTGAATCCAAAATTTAGCTCATAATACTATGAAGATTACCTAAAATCATAGGAGGAGGCAGAGGCACATCAATGATTGTGGTGTTAAGCTTTAACAAATAACAAGGTGTATTTTACCAAAAGCAAGAAGTTTATAAACGTAAGCATATACTATATAATATTGAATGACCTAAGTTACTTAATTCAATACGCCAACTAATGAGTTTTTCTTTTATAGAAGATCAAGGATATTCTGGGTTTTTTTATATCATAGGGTTAGCATCATGAGTAAGATTTTTTAACAAGGAAAGATATATATGTTGGCATCCCAACATGATTAACAAATTTAAAATTGCAATTGAAGTAGGAATAATCTCTCACCTCCATTAATATTTTGGTTAAATTTATACAATTTTGAAAGAGATAAGTATGTAGGTGTGTATGAGTTTCTCTTTTTAGGAAGAGGCTACTCTCCAGTTTCCTCCAGTGCTATTTCATCTAGTTGACACGTGTCCATTTAATTTTTAATGAATCAGATTAATTTTCTTGATCAAATATTATTAACCATGGTTATTAGTAATTCTCTCTCCTCTCATTCCTTTCTCAATCAGCAAAGAAACACTTCTTCCCCCTCCAAAACTCTCCGAAAAACAGAGCAATCAAAAAATTGAAAATTAAAATTACATCAATATTTTAATGTTTTTACATTTACATTGAACAACTAGGGAGAGTCTCAAAAGAGAAAGACTGAAATGGAGTGATTAGCCCCAATTAAAGATTACAGTTATAAATACCACAAGAAAAGATGACCCAAAAAATAAATGGAGAATTTCACAAAAAAAAAAGTATATGAAAAAATATTTTCCTACCCATTTTTCGTGCCCTTTCAAGATCTTTTAGTTGGCTTTTGCAGAAACTCCAAATTGAAAAAATTGATGTTACGAAGAAGACAACAGAGTTTTGTGGATCACCATTGTGACCGAACCAAGCTTCAAAGAAGTAGTCTCATGGATTGGATTTTTTAAATTTTCTAACCCAAGTTCATCCTTTGAATTTTGTCTTCTTTTATCACGATGTGAAAATAATGGAAAGAAAAAGCTTTGTTGTTAACAAAGCAAATTCTTTGTTGATTGAGAAAAGGTTTGTTGCAGAATTAAATGAGAAAGAAAGAGATGAGAGAGGAGAGTGAAAGAGAAATAGTAATAACCATGGTTAATGATATTTGACCATGGTTTAAAGACTGCTTTATTTAAATAAATATGGACCATTAAATTTTAAAATTGACAGATGTCATTAAGTTAAATATGCACAAGATCAACCAGAGAGATTAGTGTGCTGGAGAAGAGCTTCTTCCCTCTATTTACAGACTAAAATGATATTATTATCATATTCAAGTTGTTAACTCTAAACATTAAGAGCATGTTTGGATTGGCTTTTGGCTTATGACTTATAAGCCAAAAGTCATAAGTTAGGATTTCTAACTTATGGCTTTTGGCTTATTTTTGTTATTTTGACTTTAAAATAAGTGCTTAGAAGCACTTTTTAACTTTACCAAACACTTCAAAACTGCTTAAAAGCTATTTTGGTTTACAAACACCTAAAATAAATCAATCCAAATGGGCACTAATTCAGTTAATGTGATTGATTGGATTGATTAGGGAGACAATGTTAGTCTAATTGTCAAGACGAGCATCTTAATCAGGGGCATAGCTACATAGTCTTTAGAGTGTCCAATTGGACACCCTTCGTCGAAAAATAACGTATTGTGGACACCCTTAACACAATAAGGTGTTGTAGCCTAGTGGTTTAAGGTGCCTTGAAATAGTAATTTATGTGAAAGTCAGAATCAAAATTTTCTGTTTGTTATGTTATATGGAAACACTTACTCTGAATCCAAACATGAGGTATACTATTTACTCATGAGAATATGGATAAACTAGTATTTTACCCAATCCATTTGTTATTCAATCCATTTTTACCCATATCAAATATGGGCGAATTGAATTATTACCCATTTTATGTTGACCAATTTTTAACCCACCCATATTGCCCATTTGCCACCACTAATCTGAATGAACACTAATGTTAGTCTTTTTTTAGATGAACAATATTAAATATACTTTATTTTGTTATATTGTATCATAAAACTAAAAAGAAAAAATCCTATAACTTTTCAATATAAAATAAATTTATGTAATTACAAGGGGAAAATATTTTTAATTTCAAAGTAAATGAATATTTGTATTTTAGGACTAAAACATGTTTAATGCACTTTAAGCAATGTCCATACTAATACATGATTTGCTTAGTTTACACTATTATTTGTTATCTATGTCACTCCCCGAAATAGGGGGCGTAACTCACACTCGATACCCTAATACATCGAGTTACCCACTAAAACATACTAGCTAAACCAAACTGTGAGACAAAAAGATTGGGCAGCACAACCTCTAAAAAGTGAAGCCTAGACCCAGAGGTCATGACCTGAATGAGAATAAACAATACAAACAATGGTAGACAAACCGAAAAAAAAATAAAGATGTACTATCTAGCCGACGAGGCCACAACCAAACACATACCTACTTACACACACATATATATACATGCCAAGCCTATTGGCTGGAGGTTGAAACATACAAAAAGAAAGCCCAAAATAGTGTGTCCACAATAGCCTCTTTGAGTGACATAAGCACTGTCGGGACAAAACCCCGACTATACCTAAACTATACAACAAAAGTAAACATCCTCTGATAGCCCCAGGACAAGATGGAGCTTACCAACTCACATACATTTCAGAGTTATGTTGTATCATTGCATACACATAGAGTTGACAACATGTTTTTAAACAGTTTGTTTCTTTATATTGCACTTATTTTAAATTGCTTTATATTGAAATGAGTTCAGTCATATTGAGTTGAGTATCCAGAGTTGAGTACCCAGAGTCGAATAACATATCTTTGAGTTGAGTATCTTATCCTTGAGTACTTCTGAGTTGAGTAAGTTTGAGTAGTTTTGAGTATCCTTGGGTATTCCTTGAGTTGAGTAAGTTTGAGAAAAGGTTAGTATGTTTCCATTTTATCAAGTTTCAAGCTTATGTTTAAGCTTTAGAATTCCTCTTACATGCTCGTACATTCCACGTACTGAGCCATCTGGCCTGCATCTTCTCATGATGCAGACACATGTATTCAGGATCATCAACAGGAGATTCATTGATACATCCGGGAGTTCGAGTTAGCTATGGTGAGCCTCCTTGTTTCCGGAGGATTTCATTTACTTTTCAGTTTAGTCAGGATGTCGTGGGTCTTTGTCCCGACTTCCATCTTTATCAGTTAGAGGCTTCATAGATAGTCAATATAGTTGAGAAATCTGTATTATTCACTTTATTTTGTTAAATGTTTTAAAGACTTAAGTTGCCTATTTATGACGAGTTGAATATATTATTTATTTTATTCGGAGTTTTTCTTAAGTTAAAGATTTGTAAAGTTGAGGGCATGAATTTTATTCAGTTTTTAATCTTTTGCATGCTTGAGTTAGTCTTCCGCTTGTAGTCAGCCAGGATAAGGGTTCGCTTGGGGACCAGGAATGGTCTTCGAGTGCCGGCCACGTCCAGGGTGTAGACTCGGGCCGTGACACTTAATTATGCTTCATAGCTATAGTTTGCATATTTACGGGTTGTAGCTATAATTTAAGCTGTCTCGTTTGTATAATTCGCGGGTACATTAGTATAATTTAGTTATTTTTGTATAAACTCAAAATAACAAATTTATACAAATACAAACATCAGAAGTGTAAACAGTAATACAAATTATATTATACAAATTTCGAATTATACAAAAGTTATACAAATTATATTATACAAATTCTGAATTATACAAACGTGCGAATTATACAAAACCAAGAAATTGAGCCGCGTAATTATAGCTAAAAGTAGATCGCGAATTGTAATTAAAGCAAACTATAACTATGTTAGGTAATTTACTAATATATATTTGCTTATACGCGTAATTTTCCCTAAAAAATCACTCACCCAACCCATTTGGCTAATTCATATTTTACCCATATAAAAAATCACTCACCCACCCATTAAAATATGGATAGGTTACCAATATATGAGTTCATTTTGCCGGCATTAATTCAAATTCATATTGGGAAGTTGACACGTGAAAAATATGCGAGAATTGCATGGGCCCATGAAGACAAGAAGATAGATATTTATTGCTCATTATCTAATGTTGATTGTTGATTCCATATTTTATATTCCCAGAGAGTTTGTGAAGAAAGAAGAAAAAAAATGGTCAAAAGAAAGCAAAATAATCTTGTGCATTGCTGCAATCTGTTTTCAGTTCTTCTTGTTGTTTGTTGCAGAAGAATACATTTTCCAGAGTGTGTTGAGGCTGAAGTTCAGCATTGAATACTAAAGATGTTGTTTTCAGGTACATAGGAGTGGGTGATTCAGATGATGTTCAACTATTCTACTACTTCATTAAGTCTGAGTCTAATCCAAAATCAGACCCTCTTATTTTATGGCTAACTGGAGGCCCTGGCTGCTCTGCTTTATCTGGCCTTCTCTTTGAAATAGGTCCAATAACGTTTGAGCCAGCGGAATATAAGTTGTATGATTTTTATAGATGCTTGGTGGAATCACTAATGCGCACATTTTGGGGCCCAAGTGTGAGTTTGCTTCACCAAGGCCACAAAAATGAATAGGCCAAAGAAGGTCTCTTGATGAAATGCTATATCTTGGACGACTAAGATATCGAGTAAGAATAACCAGTTCTTATCCCTTGACAATCATCCACTCTTTAGGGAAATACTTTTCTGCTCCCTGTGTTTTCTACAACTCAAATTTTAGTATTTTGACCCTATCACCTATGATTTGGTACAAATTAAGGGTGTGTTTGGTACGAAGGAAAATGTTTTCCTAGAAAATATTTTCTTGGAAAACAAGTTGGATTTTGACTTATTTTTCATGTTTGGTTGATGAGTAGAAAATATTTTTCGAAAAAGATTTTTTGTGTTTGATTTATGAATGAAAAATGTTTTTGAAAAATTTCTTTTATTCTTACTAGAGTAGAAAATAATTTTGAAATTGAAAATATTTTTTTAAAAACAAACTTAATTTTTTTTTGGGGTGGGGGCTGGTAGGGGGTGGGGGGGTCGAGGGTAGGGGTGAAAAATTGAAATTTTGAAGTTAAAAATATTTTTTTTTAAAAAAAACTTATAATTTTTTTTTTGGGGGTGGGGGGCTGGTAGGGTGTGGGTGGGGGGGTCGAGGGTAGGGGTGAAAAATTGAAATTTTAAAGTTAAAAATATTTTTTAAAAAACAAACTTAAATTTTTTTTTTGGGGGGTGGGGGGCTGGTAGGGGTTGGGTGGGTAGGGGGTCGAGGGTAGGGGTGAAAAAATGAAATTTTGACGTCGAAAATATTTTTTAAAAACAAACTTAAACTTTTTTTTTTTTTTTGGGGGGGGGGGGCTGGTAGGGGGTGGGTGGGTGGGGGGGTCGAGGGTAGGGGTGAAAAAATGAAATTTTGAAGTCGAAAATATTTTTTAAAAACAAACTTAAACTTTTTTTTTGGGGGGGGGCTGGTAGGGGGTGGGTGGGGGTATGGGTGGCAGGGGGACCGGGTCGGCCCGCCCCGGCCCGCGACCGGTCCGAGAACCGGCCCGCCGGACCCGGTCCCGTTTGAAGAAGGCGGGATGGGGGATTTCGGGATAGGGGACCGGTACCGGTCCGGTTCATCCATTGGTCCCGGTCGACCCGGCCCGGTCCCGGCCCGGATGAACCGGCCGGTTCGCGGGATCCCCTAACAATTTTTTTTTTTTTTTTTAAAAAAAAAATTCTATCCGTTGGGCAACGGCTAGTGGGCCCCCCCAACGGATATTTTGGCAGTTTTTTCCCCCAACCAACACCCCCTACCACCCCTACTTTTAATAATTACTTTAAACCCTCAAGTTATTATAAATACACTTTAACCCACTTTTAATATTATAAATACCCCTCTATCCCTTATTATTTCTTACAAAATTATATATTCTCTCATCTATTTTTTATATTCTTTCAAGGCTCAACTCTCAATCTTAAGTCTCAAATCTCAATATTTTATTTCATTTAAGTCTCATATTATATCATAATACATATATTTCAATTCTAAGTTTTCATATTATATATCATAATATATATATATCTAAGTTTTCATATTATATTTGCTATCAAATATTGGAGTTCCAAATTACAAGTTACAAGTTACAAGTTACAACAAACTACAAGCTTCAAGAATCGGTTATAACGTCTGCTATTAACGCAGACGTTTGGTACATTCGTTTCATAATATTTATATTTTATTTTTCGTCATTAATTTTTGTGTTATTATTATTTTTATATTATACTTTACATATAATTAAATATGAGTTCTAACAAAAAAGATATCGGTAAAGGAAAAGAGAAGGAACCAAGTGCCATTAGTAGATTATTTAATTTTACTAAAAAAAGTAGTAAGGAAAAAAATAAGAGTAAATGTGGTGGTACTTCTAGAGTTAGATTTAATACAAATGATTCTACTTATGTTGATGATACTTCTTATAATATTGATTCAAATGCTCAACTCGATCATGAACTTTTACAACAAATTTATGGTGATAATCCTTATCTTGATGAAAATTCAGGTGAAGAAGTAGAAGTTGGTTCGGGAGAAGATGAATTAGAAGATACACCTACTAGTCCGGTGACAAATGTTCCAAATGAAACTACAAATTCAACGGAGCAAAATTATGGACGCCCACCCCTTATACCTCCTACAAGGGAGAAGGTGAAGTATCAACGCCCTAAAACTTCTGTTGTGTGGCAATTTATGACTTTAGATAAGGAAAATTCTATTGCTATTTGTAATAAATGTAAGCAACCTTTTAAACATAAACAAGGTGGAGGTCAAGGTGGGACGGGGGGCTTAAATAGACATTTGTTATCTTGTGTGCCGATTCAATATAAAGAAGCTAAATCATTAGCCAATAGAAAAAAAAAGAATTCCAGTTAATGATTTTGATATTAATGTTAATGAATCGGTAGGGGCTTCTAACATGGTTCAAGGAACATTAGATCCTTCTAACCCCGGTGGTCCACTAACACAACGTAAATATAATAAGGAAAGAGATCGTGAAAATTTAGCTAAAATGGTTTCTGTTTGTGGTTTACCTTATAGTTTTCCTTCACATCCCGGTTTTATTGAATATATTCAACAAACTTATAATCCTAATTATAGAGGTTTTTCAAGAAATACTGTTAAATTTGATGTTTTTGTATATCAAGGTAAACATTGTCAATATCTTCGTTGTGTGTTTAGCATATTAGATTGTAGAGTGTCTATAACTTCGGACATGGGTCGTAGTGTTAATGGACGTGATTATTTAACTGTTACAGCACATTGGATTGATCATAACTGGAATTTACAAAAAAGAATCTTAAGTTATAAAGAATGTGTAGAGAAAAAAACTGGTGCATATTTAGCTTCAAATATTTTGAGTGTTATAGATTATTACATGCTTATAGATAAAGTATTGTCTGTCGCATTAGATAATGCATCTAATAATGTAAACGCTGCTAGTATGTTAAAAATTAGATTATGTCCAATTGATGATAATTCTTTTCATGTTAGATGTGTTGCACATGTATTAAATTTAGTTGTACAAGATGGTATTTCATTATTTGAATGTGGTTGTATGAAAATTGAATATGCTGTTGCCTGGATTTTTTATGCTAATAGACCTGCTAGAATTATGGAATTTAATGAGCGTTGTGTACTATGTGATTTGCCACCAAGAAAAATTCCAAGACATATTAAAACAAGGTGGAATTCTTTTTACGAAATGCTTTCAGTTGCTTACGAATATAGAGGACCCATACAAATGGTGTTTAATGCTCATAATGCTGACCCATTAGACAGAATTTGTGAAGAAGATTGGGAAGAAAGTAATGAACTATTAGAATTTTTAAGACTTTTTTATGATGCAACAACCATGCTTTCTGGAATTTATTATCCTACTATTTCATCAGTATTAATAAATATTTGTGCTATTTCAATTCAATTTTCTAAATACAAAAATATTGAAAAATTTAGAGTTGCAATTGAAGGTATGATTGAAAAATTTTAAAAATATTTTTTTTTCCTATTCCTCAAATTTTTTTAACTGCTACTTTACTTCATCCTGACTATAAATTACAAGGTGTGCAGGGACTTGTTGACACTTTTTATAATACCTTAGAAATTTCACCGGAAATAAATCCAACTAGTCAAATGTGTAAGTGTAGCATAAAAGTAGAAGCAAAAATTTTGTATGAAAAATATAGAACTACAGGAAATATTCAAGAAGTTGGTCAAACTTCTAATCCTCAGAGTAAAGCTTGAATTTCAAGTTATATGCGAGATTTTCTTGGTCTTAATTCTACTAACCGTGATGATTTTGAAGAATATCTTAATCAATCTTTAGAAACAGTGGAAGACGAAAATGGCAATGAAGATTTATTAGCATGGTGGAGGAGGCGGAGCGTTGCATTTCCAATTTTAAGCAAAATGGTTCGTGATGTTCTAGCTATTCAAGCTTCATCAGTTGCATCAGAGGTTGCTTTTAGTGCGGCAAGGTTTCAACTTGGCGATCATAGACATTCATTGGCGGAAGACAGTTTGGAAATATCAGTTTTATTTAGAGATTGGGTCAACGCCGAAAGGAGAAATGATAATTTGCCAAAGTTAAGTTCCAAACAAGAAGCTTGGATTAATGCGGTACTTGGATCTAGTGATGATGAATTAGAGTCACAAGAGTTTCTAGCAAGTTTGCCAACACCGGAGGATGTTACCGTCGATATGATGCGACAATTAGAATTGAATTTTAAAGGAAAATACAAATATTAGATTACATCAGAGAACTAATTGAAACAGAACCCTTCCTAGAAGGTGGCTGCGTAAATTAGTTACTCATCTAATATTTGTAACAAATATTAGTTTTACATATGAGAACTTATTGAAACTGAACCCTTCCTAGAAGGTGGCTGCGTAGATTAGTTACTCCACTAATATTTGTAAATTGTAACTTCTAAGTTCTAAGTTGCAATTAGATTTTATTGAATAAATTTGAAGGCTTTATTAAGTCTTTTTTATATAACTATTGTCTTGCATTTTAATTTTAATATATTCATACATATTTACATATATACTAATTTGTTTGAAAATAGTTGAACATAATAAAAAGAGAACTAGCTATTACAAAATTTTATAATAAGGAACAAATGTTAAAAAATGGAACTTTAATACATCAACTAACACCTAGATTATTAATAAAAAAAAAAAAAAGAAGGAAAATTCAAAGTATTGCACATAACGTCCTTTTTTGGGGCCTTTTCTTCAAAATCAAAATTTCAAGTTTAAATTACTTTAAAATATTTAAAAGACAAATTTGAACTTCTCAAATTTGTAATTTCAAAATTGAAAATTGAAAATTGAATTTGAAATTTGAAAGTTGAATTTGAAATTTGAAATTTGAAAGTTGAATTTGAAATTTGAAATTTGAAATTTGAAATTTGAAGTTTGAAATTTGAAGTTTGAAATTTGAAGTTTGAAATTGAAATTTGAATTTTGAAATTTGAAAACTTAAGCATTATTTATTAGCTAAAAATGTTATTGAAAAAAAATCAAATAAACTAAAAATGTTATTCAATAACATATAATTTCAATACAAATAAATAAGTATATAAAAAATAAAAAATCCCCCGTCCCGTCCCCCCAAAACCCGACCCATCCCGTATATATAGTGGGACGGGATGGGACTTATTTTTGTCCCCCCAATCCCGGTCCCCCCAAAATCCCCCCAGATCCGTCCCCCGTCCCGTCCCGTCCCCCTTCGTCCCGTCCACCAGTCCCCGTCCCCGTCCCCTTGCCAGCCTTAGTGGGGGGTCAAGGGTAGGGGTGAAAAAATAAAATTTTAAAGTCGAAAATATTTTTTAAAAACAAAACTTAAAATTTTTTTTTGGGAGGTGGAGGGGGGGCTGGTAGGGGGTGGGGTGGGGTCGAGGGTAGGGGTGGAAAAATGAAATTTTGAAGTCGAAAATATTTTTTAAAAACAAACTTAAAATTTTTTTTGGGGAGTGGGGGGGCTGGTAGGGGGTGGGTGGGGAATGGGTAGGGGGATCGAGAGTAAGGGTGAAAAAATGAAATAATATTTTTTAAAAACAAACTTAATTTTTTTTCTTTTTGAAAGGGGTGGGGGCTGAAAGGGGCTTGGGGGGGGGGGGGCGAGGGTAGGTGGTAAAAAATAAAAAATTGAAATTAGAAATATCTTTTAAAAACAACTTTTAATATATTTTTGGGAGGGGTGGTGGTAGGGGGTGGGAGTAGGGTGAGGGTGGGGTAAAAATATTGAATTTAAAAACAAACTTTTAAATTTTTTTTTGGGGGGGATTGGTTTGAGTGTAGGGACAAAATAAATTGATTTTTTCAATAATTTTTTTTTTAATTGGAAGTTGGAAGAGAGTTTGGAAAATGTTTTCCTTAAGTTTTGAAGGAAAGTCATTTTCCTTAAATTTGAGGAAAATGAGTTGATTTGGAAAACATTTTTCAAAACATTTAATCCAACCAGACATGAGAAAATTGGAAAATATTTTCCGGAAAATGTTTTCCTTCATACCAAACACACCCTAAAGTGATAATGCATATTTTAGTTGACTTACAAGTTTATATACACAAGGCATATCTTGCATTAACCAACTTGGTGTAAAACCGGGTGAGGACAAGTCTTCTTTCCTCTATCCAGTGTCATGGCTTGAATAAGGAAAAACATGGACCTCTATTCTGATCTTTGCACTTCATTGTTATTCATACTTTACCTTCTTTAATTTTTTGTCATGTTAGTTTGACTGGGAAAAGATCTCTTGCCATTGGGCTGATGGTGACAAAGTTAAGAGAGGCACTCCATGTTCGAAGAGTAGGTTTCCTTTTTCCTTTTCATAAAAGGAGAATTCTAAAGTGTTTGAAGCAGCAAAAACAAAACTGGGAAAGCATTAGATATTTACCTAAACCAGTAGGTCCTTCAGCGGATCTCACATTCTCCCCAAGACGTTGGTTTCTAACTAGAGATCTTATCCCATGCAGGGAAGTATTGGTAAATGGAAGCGATGTGCTGGTGATGCTTTGCCTTTCCAAATAATAGTAGAAAACAGCATTCCGTATCATGCAAATCTCAGTGTGAAAGGCTATAGGTCCTTAATATACAGGTTGAGTAATTATATCTTGCGTCTATAAAGTTGTAAATTTGTTGCATAAACAATAGATCATGACACGATGGTCCCTTACACATCAATAGATTATTTATGTGAATTTACTAAATTTGCTGTATTTCATAAAACAGTGGAGATCATGACACTATGGTCCCTTACACATCAACCGAAGCTTGGATAAGATCTCTTAACTACTCGATTGTTGATGATTGGCGACCATGGATTGTTGATGGTCAAGTTGCAGGGTAAGTTCAAAACTAAATGAATGTTCTTTGATTTATGTTTGAAACATGCCTCAACCTGAATTTTTCTTGTCTTCCTTTTTCGTTCTGTTGGTACTAAAACATGCAGGTATACAAGAACATATTCAAATAAAATGACATTTGCCACAGTGAAGGAAAGCTACTATTTGACTTCACTTGTATTATTCTCTCCTGTTTCTTTAGCAAGTTAAACATTTTTGTTGAACTGTTGTGCAGGGAGGAGGACATACAGCTCCAGAGTACAAGCCTGTTGAATGTCTAGCCATGCTGAGAAGATGGTTATCTTATCAGCCTCTCTGATCAAAAGTAGCTGATAAATATCAAATGTCGAAACTGATAAGTAATTACATGCCTGGATACAAGTGTTAAAAAGTTTGCTAATACGCGAACATGAAGACAGTTTCTTGGTTGAACAAGAGCAGGTCCATAATATTACTAGTTTCTGAAAGCCAAATTTTAATAAGAGGCCTTAATTTATACAATAATGCGCTTGCATAAGTTATTCAATCTGTAATACAGACAAATTTCTATGTTATCAGTATAAGTACTATTTTATTTTTCTGCAGACCTCTAAATCTTTGCACATTCTATGTAGTACTAGAGAGTTCACATTATCTGCTACCATGAAGATAATGTATACTTCAATTATCAATCATCTCCAATTTCAACCTTACATGGTGAATATTGGAATAGTATAATTGACCACATGCGTTTGTCTACAAAGTCATGGGGAGTGTTACAAATTTTAATTATATCGTTGTGGCGGGATGAATAGAATCTCTTCACTTTTAATGAGAGATTTCAAGTAGGTAGCGCTTATACTAGAAATTACTTGCAAATGAATGTTAGATATATATAATAAAAAAATTAATGATACAATCACACAAAATAGGATTTTTCAGCGTTATCTAAAGAAATTTTTTAATAATATCATACAATAAAAAATTAAGTAACGATCAAAATAAACATTATATTTAAATTAATAATAAGCGTAAGCTATCATATGAACTTTTGTATCATTATTATTAATATTCATCTCAAATTCTCTCACAGTTCATAAAACAGGTCCACCTTTATATTAATAGGGGATAAGGGTCTGAAAAATAGCCAACTTTGATCGAATTTGTTGTTGCGATACTAAACTTTCATAAGGACCTATTACCTCCCTAGACTATTTAATACCGTATTTTTTACCCCTGAACTATTTAATAGTGTATTCTAAAGGTATATATGTGCCCACGTGGACACATTACTATTTATAAATTTGCATTATTTTTTATGTCCACGTGGGCAGATATATATGTTTAAAATACGGTATTAAATAGTCTAGGGAGGTAATAGGTCCTCATGAAAGTTTAGTATCGCAACAACAAATCCAACCAAAGTTGAGGTATTTTTCAGACCCTTATCCCTATTAATAGGGAAAAAACTTCGGCTTTGATTCAATACTAGAATTGTTTAAGATTGTATAAGGAGATCAAACTAATCCATCATCATGTGAAAACTCAACATCCCTGCATGTTCAGAGTTAGATATTTATTGTATGAATAATATAAAATCATGTGAGAACTCAATATCCCTGCATGTTCAAAGTTAGATATCTATTGTATGAATAATATAAAATGGACATAGAATATTAAGTAAAATTATAAATTAAAATGAACCTGACTTTACTTATTGTGATAAAGAAATAAATCTTCAATTTTTGAATCCAAAATTTAGCTGTGGTACAATGAAGATTACCTAAAATCATAGGAGGAGGCACATCAATGATTGTGGTGTTAAGCTTTAACAAATAACAAGGTGTATTTTACCAAAAGCAAGAAGTTTATAAACGTAAGCATATATTATATAATATTGAATGACCTAAGTTACTTAATTCAATACGCCAACTAATGAGTTTTTCTTTTATAGAAGATCAAGGATATTCTTGGGTTTCTTTTATATCATAGGGTTGGCATCATGAGTAAGATTTTTTAACAAGGAAAGAGATATATGTTGGCATCCCAACAAATTTAAAATTGCAATTGAAGTAGGACTAATCTCTCATCTCCATTAATATTTTGGTTAAATTTATACAATTGAAAGAGATAAGTACATAGGTGTGTATGAGTTTCTCGTTTTAAAGACAAATGATATTATAATTATCATATTCAAGTTGTTAACTCTAAACAATAAATTCAATTCAGTTAATGTGATTGATTGTTAGTCTAACTGTCAATCTAGAAAAAGGGCTTCTCAATGCTCTAGTGTCTTTACTCCCAACGTAAGAAATAACACTTCACTTGCTATCTATGTGCCTTTCCCCTTCTCACATTTAATTATACGATTTGTCATTCAAATGAATTGTTTTTTTTTTTTTTGTCTTTATAATCAAATGTATACCTAGCAAACAGTAAGTTTTTTAAGGATTCGAGACATAATTTATAAAATGTTATGATGTAAAAATATAAATTTATGCCCCATCCCCAAAAAAAGGCAATTCTTGTTGAGGTTAAAAATTAAAGAGCAACGAGGACAAAAAGTTCAAAATTTCCTCTTCTCACGTGACCCACTAAGCCCATAGCACAACAACTTCAGCCCAAATAAACCATTCTTCTCCAGCTTTTAACCTGTCACCGGTCACACCCCATTCCCGCCAAAGCCTCGCCGGCAAATTTTCCGGCAGCGCGGTTCTCTCTAATTTCTCAACTCCGAACTATATGCATGCACACAATGCTTGAGCATATCCCCTCACTATACACAGAACCGATTAGAAGAAAGGGAAGCGGAAGCGGAATCTCCGGCTTCAGAATGTCTCAAGGCATTCTATTGGAGTTCAAGGTTAAATCCCTTCTGTTCTCAAATTTTTCTTCTTGTACATAATGATTTATATAACGAGCAGATTAACCATCTCCCATTCCAAAAGGGTGGAAAATAGTAATTTATGTGAAAGTCAAAATCAAATTTTTCTGTTATATGGAGACAATTCTTCTGAACCCTAACATCAGGTACTGCAGAAGTGCTCATTCAGATTCATATCGGGAAGTTGACTTGTAGAAGAATATGCCAGAATTGCTGGATCTCCATGAATTCCATGTGCATATTTAATTATCATTTTTTTAAAGTACAGCGTGCCTAAACAGTGCCTGGGCATGAGGACGAGAAGATAGAATATTTTATATTTGATTGCTTTTATCTCTCATAACTAATGTTGACTCCTTATTATATATTCCCAGAGAGTTTGTGAAGAAAGATCTATATGAAGAAAAAAAATGGCCAAAAGAAAGCAAAATCTTGTGCTCTGCTGCAATCAATTTTCACTTCTTTTTCTTCTTCTTCTTGCAGAAGTAATACATATTCCAGAGCGTGTTGAGGCTGTTGGTGCACCTGTTAAGTTTCTTCCAGGATTCCAAGGGCCACTTCCTTTTGAACTTGAAACTGGGTAAGTGTAAAAGCTACTCTTTTTTATGTTTAGTCTTGTTTTTGTTTCTGGAAGTATATAACATTTATACTAAATTGGATGCAGTAAGGAATTATCTTTGTCTGTAGCTACTCAAATAAGTTTAACATTGAAATATAAAAAAGGGAGAGATTGAATTTAAGTTAAATAAAGTTTGTGGAAGTTGGTAGTAGGATTTGTGACATTTGATGATTTGTTAGTGAAAATCAGTATTTCCAGGGGCGGATTTAGGAAGGGGGAAGGGGTGTCACGTGACACTGCTTCGCCAGAAAAAATGGCTAAATCGTATATACGGGTATGAAACAAAAGCAAACATAAAAGGTCTATATAATAAAAGTGACACTGCTTGAACAGTAGAAGCGCGTAGCTTAGGTGGTTTTCTGCTGAAATTCGTTAGGGTAGGTTGCGTTCAATCCTACATAGTCACATTTTTTATGTTTTTTTTTCTTTGACCTTCTTTGTTTAGTGATTATTTGGTATTTTGTTTGTATAAACAAAAATTTAGTATAATATTATCAAGAAAATTAATTTGAATACATTTCATAAAACAAAACTCATGAAAAAATATTATAATGTGTTTTTTATTTTATTTTTTTAGAAAAAATTATAACAATATACATGAATTGTGTTTTATTTGTGCTTTTTTTTAAAAAAAATATGGTTTATATTATTTTATTTATTTTCTCATTTTAAAAGGTGACACCGCTTACGAAAAATTCTATGTACTCCACTTAGTATTTCTCTCTTTTTTTGAGTGCATGATCATGTTAAGATTTGAAGAAGAAGCGACATAGTTACATTCAAACCAGTATTTCAATATTTCGCTTAAAGTGAAATCACTCGTAGCCAAACAAGTATGTGCAAATACTGAAGTTCAGCATTGAATACTAAAGATGTTGTTTTCAGGTACATAGGAGTGGGTGATTCAGATGATGTTCAACTATTCTACTACTTCATTAAGTCTGAGTCTAATCCAAAATCAGACCCTCTTATTTTATGGCTAACTGGAGGCCCTGGCTGCTCTGCTTTATCTGGCCTTTTCTTTGAGATAGGTCCAATAACATTTGAGCCTGTCGAGTACGGTGACTTTAAGCCAGCGGAATATAATGGTAGCTTCCCCTCACTGGTCTTGAATCCCCATACATGGACAAAGGTGAACATATCTGTCAGTCACTAATCTTGGGATATTCATAAACTTGCAGACTAACCAAAATGTTGTTTAATCAGATTGCAAGCTTTATATTCTTAGATCTTCCAGTTGGTACTGGATTTTCCTATGCAAGAACTTCAGAGGCTCGTCAATCAGATGATCTACAAGCTAGTGATCATGCATATCAATTTCTACGCAAGGTAATTAGATCTCTAATTTCAAACTTTTGTGTGATACAGATTCTGAAATCCAATTTCTATCTTCAAATGACTTTTGACGTTTAATTTAATTCATCCATTTCCTTTCAGTGGTTCAATGATCACCCAGAATTCTTAAGAAATTCATTTTATGTGGCTGGGGACTCCTATTCGGGAATAAGTATACCAATCATTTCTCAACTCATAGCAAATGGTAGGATTTTATAATGAAGTGCATTGTTGTTTTCCTCCAAGAACGATTATTTGCTTATTGTTCCATTGGTTGATCATTCACTATTCTGATGATATGATGTGGTAATGCAGGAAATGAGAAGGGACTTGAGCCATTTATTGATCTTAAGGTTTGTCTTTCGTTTTTGTTTAACATTTTTTACGTAATGAGTTCTTTTGTTTTGTATTAGGATATAAGTCATTACACAGTTAGAGACTCCATGAACATCATGAAAGGATAGCTATAGGTGCTCTTAACATTTTGCGTCCTTCAAATGGTTTCAGGGATATTTACTGGGAAATCCGGCTACATTTCATGGTGAATACAATTACAGGATCTCATATGCTCATGGAGTGGGACTTATTTCTGATGAACTTTTTGAGGTATGCATTATCTAATATACATCTTTTTTTATTTTAACTTATATACACATACAATGTTTGTATGGTTTTGATTTGGCATGGAATTTAAGAATATAAACAAGTCTTTTAAATCTTGTGGTCTTAAACTAACGATATGTAGAATGTACCAAAATTCCCTTTAATCTTGTGTTGTTAAACATGCCACGTGGAAATTTAAAACTAAAGAAATCTCAAAAAAGGGAAAGAGACATTCTTTTTTAAACGGACTAAAAAGGGGAAAGTAAGACAAACAAATTCAAACGGAGGAAGTAATAAAAACTTTAAACTGTAAATGCAATTCAACATGTTGTTCAACTTCTTATGTGTAACCTGTAATCATCTTTTCAAGTGTCATTGTAGTGTAAAATATACTTGCACTGTCAAAAGGTATAGAAGTTAAATGCTTTTCTAAGCACTGATGAAATGGATTACTACTCTTGAACAGTCCTTGAAGAGAAACTGTGAAGGAGAGTATTTCGATATACATCCTAGCAACACAAAATGTTGGAATGATAGGCAGACTTATGATCAGGTTTGTGTCTATTAATTCATTTCTCTTGTGCTGCTTCCATCTTATTGCTTGGTTTATTTGACTAAACTTGATATAAGTTGTATGATTTTTATAGATGCTTGGTGGAATTACCAATGCGCACATTTTGGAGCCCAAGTGTGAGTTTGCTTCACCAAGGCCACAAAAATGGATAGGCCAAAGAAGGTCTCTTGATGAAATGCTATATCTTGGACGACTGAGATGTCGAGTAAGAATAACCGGTTCTTATCCCTTGACAATCATCCACTCTTTAGGGAAATTCATATTTTACCTCCTTTCTTTTTTTGTCATGTTAGTTTGACTGGGAAAAGATCTCTTACCATTGGGCTGATGATGACAAAGTTAGAGAGGCACTCCATGTTCGAAGAGTATGTTTTGCTTTTTCATTTTTTCATAAAAGAAGAATTCTAAAGTTTTGGGAGCAACACAGATTAAAGTTGGAATGCATTAGATATTTACCTAAACTAGTAGGTCCTTCAGCGGATCCCACATTAGCTCCAAGAGTTGGTCTCTAACTAGAAATCTTATCCCATGCAGGGCAGTATTGGTAAATGGAAGCGATGTGCTGGGGATGATTTGCCTTACCAAAAGATAATAGGAAACAGCATTCCATATCATGCAAATCTCAGTGTCAAAGGTTATAGGTCCTTAATATACAGGTTGAGTAATTATATCGTAAATCTGTTGCATAATTAATAGACTCTCTGTATGAATTTACTTAACTTACCATACTTATTTCATAAAATAGTGGAGATCATGACACGATGATCCCTTACACATCAACCGAAGCTTGGATAAGATCTCTTAACTACTCTATTGTTGATGATTGGCGACCATGGATTGTTGATGGTCAAGTTGCCGGGTAAGTTCAAAACTAAATGAATGTTCTTTGATTTATGTTTGAAACATGCCTCAACCTGAATTTTTCTTGTCTTCCTTTTTTTCATTCCGTTGTACTCAAACATGCAGGTATACAAGGACATATTCAAATAAAATGACATTTGCCACAGTGAAGGAAAGCAACTATTTGACTTCACTTGTGTTAACTTGTTTTATTCTCTCCTGTTTCTTTAGCAAGTTAACATTTTTGTTGTTGTTGTTGAACTGTTGTGCAGGGAGGAGGACATACAGCTCCAGAGTACAAGCCTGTTGAATGTCTAGCCATGCTGAGGAGATGGTTATCTTATCAGCCTCTCTGATTAATTGAGGAACACATTTCAACCCCTTTGTGAAGCATCCAATATTGAAATTCATTCTATCATTAAGATATTATGTATTTAGAAAAAAAGTGTTGGAACTAATAATAAGCCAAAATGGGTGTTCCATTTGTGTTGTGAGATCTATTTGTTGCCCACAATGTTCTGAGTTTATTGAGCAAGGCACCAAATTAACTTTCTTTCCTTGGCCAAGTTTCATTCAAGTTCTCTCAGAGAAATATTAGTATATATTATTTAATCAATCTTGCACCCCATTCACGATTCTCTCTCTCGTATCTCAACACCAAACTATATGTATACACACAATACACAGAACTGATAAGAATAACGGAAGCCCCGGCATTAGAAAATCTCAAAGCACTCCACAGGAGTTCAAGGTCAAATCCCTTCTGTTCTCAAAAAGAATTTCTTGTACATAATGAGCAGATTCACCATCTCCCATCCCAGAAGGAAAAAGAAAAGAAGAAGATAATAGTGATTTATGGGATAGTAAAAAAAAACAATCTGTTTGTCATGTTATATGGAGACACTTTTGCTGAATCCAAACATCAGGTAAAGTCATTCAATTTTGTTTTATAACTCAAAAGTCACTCAACTATTAATGTTTCACTTAGAAAGTCATTCAACTATTTATATTTCTCTTAGAAAGTCACTCAATCAATTTAAATAATTTTTCATTAAATTTTGTAAAAGTACAAAAAATAATTGAACTATTTTAAAAAAATAAAAAAATGCTTATTTAAATTATTTTGTTGAAATATACTAATATAGTTTTTGTTTTTACCTTTTCTTTTTAAAAAAACAGTAGAAAACCTTTCTTTGCTATTGTACGTTTTTTCAGAAAAATTATAATTAAATAATTGGAGCGGATCAATAAGATAATTAAAATAGATATTTTATTATTTCTTAAAAAATAGTTTAAAATAAAATTTAATGAAAAAATTATTTAAATTGATTGAGTGACTTTCTAGAGTAAATTGAGGAGGAGGTGACAAAAAAGTGTTGAAATTAAAATTGGTGACAAAAAATAATTGACAAGTCAAACTTTTTTTAATTAGTGATTAAGATAATTAAGGTCTGAAATGTAATATTTAAAACTTCTAAACTTTTAAAAATATTCAAAATAAACCCAATTTCTAATTTCAAAATGTTTGAAAATTTTTCCCTCCCTTCTTAAATTTCAAAATTTAAAATCTCTTTCAAGATTTATTTCTCCCTCTTCTTCCATTTTTCTTTCTCTTTCCAAATTTCTTCTTCTTCTTCATTTCTTTTTCTCTTCTTCCATTTACTTGTTCTTTTTTATTGTTGTTATCATTATCGTTGTTGTTCATTATTTTTTATCACGTTTTTTCTTTTTCTCTTGTTGGTCCTATTTCACAAACTAATTTGCTTTAATTTTAAAATTTTTGAAGTTAAAGTCATTTTTTATTTTTATTTTTTAGAAAATCAAGCAATAACTGAAGTTGTCACAATAACTGCTGAAGTTATTGTAGCAACTGTTGAAGTTTTTTTCAGCAAATGCTAAAGTTTGCTCAACAACTGTTGAAGTTTTTTCAGCAGCTGCTCAAGTTTGCTGAAGTTGCTGCAACAACTACAATAATTGTTGTAGCAAGTGAGATAAAAGAGAGGGTGGTAGAGTGGCAAATGAGATGTTGGTGATAACAACGAAGGTGGAGGTGATGGTTGTTGTGACGGCAGAGGTAGAGAAGAAAGAGGTGGCAACAATGGTGGTAAAAGAGAAAAAATAAGAGAGTGATGGCAATAGAGGAAGAACTGATGGTTGTGGTAGAGGAGGAAGTGGTGACAGCGACGGTTACAATGACAAAAGGAGAGGGGATGACAGTGACAAAAGGGTGGAGAGAAGGGAGGGTGTGAAATGAGAGAAAATAGGGGTTTTATGTAAATAATAAAACTTGAGGGTTTTAAATTAGTGTCATTAGCACTAATTATAAAATTGTCACATCTACTCAATAATTAAAACTTTTGTCACTTTTTCTTCATTTTGAAACTCTTTTGTCACCCTTAATTCATTAGCCCGACTTTCTAAGTAAAATACAAATAGTTGGGTGACCTTCTAAGTGTAACATCAATAGTTAAATGATTTTTGAGTTATAAAACAAAATTAAGTGACTTTTTAAATGAACTATTCAAAGTTGAATGAACATCTGAGATATTAACTCAGCAGAAGAGTTCATTCAGATTCATATGGGAAGTTGACTTGTAGAAAAATATACCAGAATTGCTGGATCTCCATGAACTCCATTTGCATATTTAATTAGTACAATTTGTAAGTTACAATGTGCATAAGCATGGCCTGGAGCCATGAGGACTACAAGTCAGAATATTTTTTCTATTTTATTGGTTTTGTCTCTCATATTTAATGTTGACTCATTATTATATATTTTCAGAGAGTTTGTGAAGAAAGCTCTCTATGACAAAAAGCAATGGCCGAAGGAAAGAGAAGTCTTATGCTTTGCTGCAATCTGTTTTCAGTTCTGCTTCTTCTTCTTGCAGAAGTACTTCATTTTCCAGAGTGTGTTGAGGCTGCAGGTTCACCTGTTAAGTTTCTTCCAGGATTCCAAGGGCCACTTCCTTTTGAACTTGAAACTGGGTAAGTGTAAAAGTTATTACTTCTTTGATGTTTAGTCTTGTTTTTAAAAAGTTTGTGGAAGTTGGTAGTCGTATTTGTGAAATTTGATGATTTGTTAGTGAAAATCAGTTTTTTGCTCTTTCGTTGAGTGCACGATCATGGCAGGACTCAAAAGAAGAATCCCCAGCTAACTCCGTGTCAGCAGTAAGCTGGGGTGGGGTGAGGGGTTTCGTTGGAATGACTGGGCGTACAGTCAAAGCCGCCAAAAACTGGCGGAATGCTCTCGGAGGAGAGTGAAATTTCGTGTGTAAAATACCTATTCGAACCAGTATTTCAATATTTCACAAAAGTGAAAACACTCGTAGCTAAACAAGTATGTACAAATACTGAAGTTCAGCATTCAATATTAAGTATAGGGTGGTGTTTTCAGGTACATAGGAGTGGGTGATTCAGATGATGTGCAACTATTCTACTACTTCATTAAGTCTGAGTCTAATCCAAAATCAGACCCTCTTATTTTATGGCTAACTGGAGGCCCTGGCTGCTCTGCTTTATCTGGCCTTCTCTTTGAGATAGGTCCAATAACATTTGAGCCTGTCGAGTACGGTGCTTTTAAGCCAGCAGAATATAATGGTAGCTTCCCCTCGCTGGTCTTGAATCCCCATACATGGACAAAGGTGAACATATCTGTCAGTCACTAATCTTGGGATATTCATAAACTTGCAGACTAACTAAAATGTTGTTTAATCAGATTGCAAGCTTTATATTCTTAGATCTTCCAGTTGGTACTGGTTTTTCCTATGCAAGAACTTCAGCGGCTCGCCAATCAGATGATCTACAAGCTAGTGATCATGCATATCAATTTCTTCAGAAGGTAATTAAATCCCTGAACCTCATACTTTTCATGTCCAACAAATTATGGAATCAAATTTCCATGTTCAAATGGCTTTGCCGTTACACTTAATTCATCCATTTCTTTTCAGTGGTTCAATGATCACCCAAAATTCTTAAGAAATCCGTTTTATGTGGCTGGGGACTCCTATTCTGGAATATCCATACCAATCATTTCTCAACTCATAGCAAATGGTAGGAATTCAAATGAAGTGCACCTTTGTTTTCCCCCCAAGAACGTCATTTGCTTGTTCTCCCCTTGTCTAATCATTCACCATTTGCGATGATGTGGTAATGCAGGAAATGAAAAGGGACTTGAGCCTTTTATTAATCTTAAGGTTCGTCTTTTCTTTTTTGTTATGTTTTTACATAATGAGTTCTTTTGTTTTATATCCATAAACTGATGAAAGAATATAGCTATAGGTGCTCTTAACATTTTGTATCCTTCAAATGGTTTCAGGGATATTTTCTGGGAAATCCATCGACATTTCAAGGTGAATTCAACTACAGGATCCCATATGCTCATGGAATGGGACTTATTTCTGATGAACTTTTTGAGGTTTGCATTATCTAAATAGAAACTTTTTTTTCTATTCAACTTTTATACGCTAACAACGTAATAAAACACACTGTAAATGCAATTCAACATGTTACAATAGGTTACTTGCCTTATTTTTCAGGTTACTAATTCAACTTATTATGAGTAATTCATTACATGTAATTTTCTTGTAAATGACATGATAATGTAAAAAAGATTTTTTTATAAGCATTTGCTTCACACATTAACTGATTGAATGGCTTATTACTCTTGTACTAGTCCTTGAAGAGAAATTGTAAAGGAGAGTATTTTGATATACATCTTAGCAACACACAATGTTTGAATGATCGTCAGACTTATGATCAGGTTCGTGTCTGTGCTGCCTCCATCTTATGGTTGTTTTTTCGACTAAGCTTGATATCAGTATGCTGTGACTTTTATAGATGGTAGAAGGACTTGAACCTGGGCAAATTTTGGAGCCCAACTGTGAGTTTGGTTCACTGAGGCCACAAAAATGGTTTGGCGAAAGAAGGTCTCTAGATGAGATGCTATATGCTGGACGACTAAGATGTCGAGTAAGAATAACTGGTTCCTATTCTGTTGAAAGTCATCCACTCTTTAGCGAATATACCTACCCCTCTCTTTGTTCTCAAAAAAAATTGGTATCTTAACCATATCAGTTAAGAGTTACAGATGAAAGTAACCATACAGATCACTTAAGTATAGTTAACTGACAAAAGCTTATATACACAGTACAAAACTTCCATTGATGTAAACAGAGAGCACGCATAAGTTTTCCCCCTCTTTCCAATGCTAACCGTAGCTGGAATAAGGAAAAAATGGATATCTATTATGATCTATGCACTTCATTGTGTGCATACCAAAACTTCATACTTTTACATATTTCTTTTTTTGTCATGCTAGTTTGACTGGGAAAAGCTCTCCTACCATTGGGCTGATGATGACAGAGTCAGAGAGGCCCTCCATGTTCGAACAGTATGTATCATTTTTTTTCTTCATCAAATGAGAAACATATCTAAATTTGGAAGCAATAAAAAAGAAACATGAATTTTATCCCATGCAGGGTAGTATTGGAAAATGGAAGCGATGCGCTGAGGATGATTTGCCTTTCGAAAAGATAGTACATAGCAGCATTCCATATCATGCAAATCTCAGTGTCAAAGGTTATAGGTCCTTAATATACAGGTTGAGTACTTATTAGATCTTTTGTCTTATAAGTTATGAAATTTGTTCCATAAATGTATTTTTTTATATGTGAAACAGTGGTGATCATGACATGATGATCCCTTATATATCAACCAAAGATTGGATAAGATCTCTTAACTACTCTATTGTTGATGATTGGCGACCATGGATTGTTGATAGTCAAGTTGCAGGGTAAGTTCAAAACTTAATGAAAGCTCGTTGATCGTGTTTGAAACATGCCTTAACCTGATCTTTTCTCGTCTTTTCTTTGTGTTTCGTTGTACTAAAACATGCAGGTATACAAGAACATATTCAAATAAAATGACATTTGCCACAGTGAAGGAAAGCAACTATTTGACTTGTATTAACTAGTTTCATTTTCTCCTGTTTCTTTAGCAAGTTTACATTTTTTGTTGTTGTTGTTGAACTGTTGTGCAGGGAGGAGGACATACAGCTCCAGAGTACAAGCCTGTTGAATGTCTGGCCATGCTGAGAAGATGGTTATCTTATCAGCCTCTCTGATCAAAAGTAGCTGATAAATATCAAATGTCGAAACTGATAAGTAATTACATGTTTGGATACAAGTGTTTAAAAGTTTGCTAATACGCGAACATGAAGACAGTTTCTTGGTTGAACAAGAGCAGGTCCATAATATTACTAGTTTCTGAAAGCCAAATTTTAATAAGAGGCCTTAATTTATACAATAAAACACTTGCATAAGTTATTCAATCTGTAATACAGACAAATTTCTATGTTATCAGTATAAGTACTATTTTATTTTTCTGCAGACCTCTAAATCTTTGCACATTCTGTGTAGATATTTCATTCACGTGCTCTTGTATTCCCCTCGAAAAAGTAAACAAAATAAATACTAACTAGTACATGTTTTTTAAATTTCACATTATCTGCTACAATGAAGACAATGTATACTTTAATTATCAATCATCTCCAATTTCAACCTTACATGGTGAATATTTGAAATAGTATAATTTATTTATTTTTCAGGGGAATAGTATAATTGACCACATGCGTTTGTCTACAAAGTTATGGGAAGGAATTTCTCATGTTACAACTTTTAATTTCTATTGTTATCTCGGATAGGTACCACTTTCACTTTTAGTGAGTTTTGTGAACTCGATAAACACAAATATACTAGAAATTACTTCCTGATGAACATTAAATATATATTCGTTGACTATTATTTTAGCGATCGACTATATATATAGTATAAAATTGCATTAAAAACAAGCATTTCATTGATATTATTGAATTTATGGAATCATTACAAAACCCTATCTAAGCAAGTGTACAATCAAACCACCTACTGATCAGTATATATAACTAATTAGTCCATAGACTTTAAATGAACTTCTTCTTATTGTTTGTCAAAATTAGGGAAAATTAATTGATAGGACAACCCACTTTTTGCCCACTATTTTATGTTTTATACACATGCTTAGTTATTTATTCCTAACAAAGTAAGAAGAAAGCAATTTTTTTTTAATTGTGCATGTGCTAAGTGGCAGAAGATATTTGTTTTCTTATATATTCTTAATTTCAGTCTCTGCATGCTTTTACTTTATCACCATGTCATTTACTGCTTAAAAAAGGTGGAGTTAGTGAGTTTGGACGAACTCGATAGCTTTTTCGTAGATCATGTATTTGTATTAGAAAATTAAATTTTAAAAAAATAAAATATATATATATGTAAACCCCTTAACAAAATTAATGATAGCTTAGTAAAACTTCAAACTTTCTAATTTTGGCTCCACCTCTTACTACCGCTATATATTCTTTTAGAAGAAGAAGGGGCCAGTTAAGGTCCCTCCACTTCTCTGACATATATATCATCACTCTCTTTGTCTTGGCTCATGAGGAGCTACCCTTTATTGCACTTGCCATTATTGATTTCTTGTTCATGATGTATACCACATACAAATAGACCATGCCAAGTATATGTTCATCTTTTATAAATGAATATGTAGAAAGTATTTGAGAATATCTCTGAACTTAACGTAAATTATCAGTTTCGTCCTTTAATTACTAACAGTCTAAAAACATTCTTTTACTTGACTAACTAAACTTAGATTCACCCTCGATTTGTCACATGACATAGTAAGTAGTCTCAAACTCTTGTAGGAGCATGAAACTCTTAATAAAATGTTGAGAAAAGTATTAAAAACACCCTTAAACTTAACGATAATTTAGGAGTGTATTTCATTCATGTTGTAAGATCGGGGGTGTATTTACGTTCAGTTACTCAAGTAAAGGGGTGTTTTAAAGACTCTCAATAGTTCGGGGATGAAACTAATAATTTGCGCCGAATTTAAGGGTGTTTTCAATATTTACAACACAACAGGAGCCTACTACATGTGTTTAAAATGTAAAAGGCTCACTTGAGATGTCTAAGTGAAAAATCGTGTCAATTTTAGATGTTCACCGATAATTTCTGCCAAAATATATCTACTCTTTCTCTGGATATAATATACACATTATTCAAATATATCTTCTTGGTAAGGAAATCCTATTTAATGTACCCAACTCAAAATACTTGTTATATTTCTCAAGCATAATTTGTTATCTGATTGCATATGAGTTCAGTAGGTATATATTTATTTTCAATCAAATTTCTATAATGTTCTTTATATATATATATATATATATATATATAAATTATTTGTTATATGTCGCATAATAGAAAAAATAATAATGATCTAATATGGTGATTGCCAACCTTCATTTATAATTTTATAATAATATCATCAAGGCATTCCAACATTGATTTATCAATCATAGTATATCAAGCCATGGCAATAACTAACATTTAACCTTTGTACACCATATAATTTTCTGGTGAAGGATGTATACCAGACACCCTTCACCTAAGATGGCTCCGCCCTTGATATCAAGCTCACATTGTAATAAAAAATTCAGGTTATAACAATAAATTAAGTTTCTTAATTGTGAGACGTTGAAATCACATCAACCATACTTTGCTGAGTCTATTATCTTTTTAAGTTAAATTTAAGTTCTTTTGACATAAGTTTATCATGTCGGATGCAAACCATATAAACTTTTTTTAGCAATTTAATTCCGATGCCATTTTAATATTAAATCAATTCCAAATGAGCTTATATATACCAATAACATTGTAATAGATGTATCAATAATTAATCTGGTTAATATTAAGTTTCATTTTTCATCTACTTAGGTGATAAATACTTTAATAGATGTATCAATAATCAATCTGGTTAATATTAGTAATAACCTTGTCAATGAGAAGCTAATTTAATCACCACTATTCTATTAAAAAAAATTATCAATCCATTTATTGGGGGAAAAAAAATCTCAAATGTTGCACAAATTACACTAAATAAATTAGTATTGAGTTGGAAAATTCTATTAATTTGTTCCCTTTTGTTATATTTTTTTTCCTGAAAAAGATATATATTCTAAAAACAAATTTTTTAACTTTCTACATATTACATAAATGATTATTCTCCAATATTTTGTATAGTGTTTTCATAATTAGTGCAGGTACATCAGGCATTGATTTAGGAAGTGTGTGTCTCCATCAATATTGAAGTCAAAAAAAGCAAAGGAAAAGGTCTTCTTCTGCCAACATTTAGGTATCATTGACATTCTTAAAAAAAATTGACTTTTGTAGTATATATGTATAATATATATATATATATATTTTTAAAATAATAATAATAAATAAATTAAAATTAGCTATCGCATTATGTTATTGTGTTAACAAATTTAGGCCAACTATGTATAAATGCAGACATAGTGTATTCCTCTTGAATTGGACTCTCGTGTGATTATATTTATCAACGAGTTATTAGTAGTTCTAAGTTTAATCTATAATGTTGTTACACAAACTTCAAGAAATAATTTAAAATCCTTAATATGAGATTATTTTGCTAAATTATCATCGTTTTCTCTTTTAAACGTTTCACTCAATAAATACTTCACAAATTAAAATAACATAATGGTGAATATAGATAGAGGAAAGTGTTGAGTATTTTCATTTATTCAGTTATTTATTATTAATATTGATAATAATAATAATAATAATAATAATAATAATAATAATAATAATAATGATGATGATGCAAGGAATTAAAGAAGATATTTGATACATGCACTCATGTCTCACAATAAAGTATGTCATAAGTATAATTGGAATGATTAAAATATAGAAGAAAAGGTACACGAAGCATATATATATAGACTATAATATAGTATGTTGTAAGAGGTATCATTATTTATTTTTTGAAATGATTAAAATAATTTTTAAAAATACCCTACTTGATTTTTTAAATTATGAATTATAATGAAATAGTGGATGGTGTGGCCAACATTATCAAATACGATGAAATGCGTTACTTAGAAGTAGTATAGGTTGGCCACCTTTCATTTTCTTTATTTAATTTATAATATTTTGATTAATTAAAGAAATAAATATTAGTTCAACCTTGGTAAAAAATATCCAAAAATATATTCATGTTTCCCACCAGAAAGAAATTGATTGATCAATATCTAGATCAAACAAATTAAATCAACCAAATCAAGAAAGGAATAATAAGAAATTTAAAATATTTAAACTCTTTTTTTTGTCTGAAAAATAGTTAAAATAAATTAATTATTCTTGAAAAACAATTATTGTGTTCATTTAAAGCTCATCAAGGAAAATAATTAATGAAATTAAAGTGAATACAACCAAATTTTGTACAGTATTAACAAATTTTGATGGATGTGGCTTTATTTGATGTACTAATTTAGGAGTATGTTCGTTGGGACACTTAAATGACTTTGCATTATTTGTATTAGAAGTACATAATTTTGGGTGGATTTCAAAATTTAAGTTCTATATGTAATTATAAAAGTTTTTAGTATTGAATTTATTATATTTATAAATTATAAACTCAATCTATTTGATTTTTATTACTATAATTTTAATAAATTCACACATAAAGTTATGCCCCACATGAAAAATATTTATTCGGTTAAATATGATATCGCGACACTATATTCACTTATAACCTTGATCACATGAAAAAAAGAAACAATTTAAGAGTAAATTAAAGGTTTTATGTATTACCACTTTAAAAAAGGTTTGTTTAGTATTATTTTAATTATTTATTGCGTATATTTCTTTCGTTCCAAAATACTTATCATGTTTATCTTCAAGAGTCAAACTACACAAATATTCATTAATATTTTTAGATGTATCTTTTTTTTATTAGATACAAGGAGTGATTTCTTTTGAGTTAGTTCATGGGAAGAGGCAATAATTTGATTGCAATAATATAATAAATGACTCTTAACGAGACCATATGCCCTCTAACTGCCAATATTAATTATAGCAGTTAATGGTCACTATGTTAGATAAATTAGATTTATCTCGAGAGCCAAATTACATCAATATTGATTGATATTTTTAATTATAGTTTTTACCATATTATTATGCAAATAATTATAACTTTTAGTATTTTTCATGATATCTAAATTTTAATTTTAAAATGTTATTGCAATAAAATAGACAAACTCAATTGAGATAACGAAAAAAATATATAAATCACAATAATAACACGATACAAGGACAATATTACAAAAGATTAATGAACAAAACAACTACAAGTTATTAGTCCATAGTATCTCGTTCTAAACTTGTAAGCAATAGTATTATTTGTTAAACTATGTCAATTGCTTTTAATTGTAATTGCACGTTTATACTAATTAAGTATAAGATTCTAATTTAATCGAAAAACTTTCATTTTTCACTTTTCACACGCACAAAAACAAGAAAAAACAAACAAACTATTAACCCAAGAAAGGGGCAAAACAAACTATAAAGTATTAGCCAAACAAGGGGCAAAACAAAGTAGAACTACAAGTCAACAATAACGAGTAGGTCTAGGAAGGATGGTGTGAGTGCAACTTTGAGACCGCTTCCGATAGATAAATCATATTAAAAAATTTAGTATGTAAAACAAATATTAAAGCCAAAGTAACAACATGAAATACTAAAATTGAAAAATAAAATAGTATGACAGTAAAAACAACAATATTTAGAAGGAAATTAGACAACGCTTGACTATCCACTAACCTTCTAATATTATCCTCGACCTCCATATCTTTCTATATATCCAGATCATTTTCCTCTATAAGCGATAAACATGTCATATTCTACCTAATCACCTCTTTCCCGTATACTCTTTATAACTAACATATACTAAAACAACTGTATATAATATATTATCTTCACATATCTGAACTACCTCAACCTCGTTACCCTCAAAACAACTTACAACTATTAACCAAACAAGGGTCAAAACAAAACCAAAAATAAAAACCATTATTTTCCCTCCAAAAGAATATGTGTAAAACATTAGAGAAATGTGAAAAAAGAAAAAAATGTACTCCTTTCGCGTCAATTTATGTGACACCTTTTGGATTACGAGATTCAAATAAATCTATTTTTGACTGTAAATTTTTCATACATCTTTTTGAATCGTCAATTATGGTGACTTATATAGTACATTTTACGTAGTTTATAAATACATAAATTTCAATTCTAAAAATTTGAAGATGTGTAAATTGTCGATCAAACTTAAATTGTTTGATTTTCAAAAAAATGAAAAATATCACTTAAATTGAGACAGACGGAGTAAGAAAATAGAGAGACATAAGGTCGACGTGTAAGAAAAAAGAAAAGGTCTTATGTCCCCCCCGCTCAATTTGAGGAATAACAGAGACACACACACAAAGTTGGCGTTGAGATGAACAAATTTGCCTCTTTCTCTCTCTAACCTCTCCTACACTAATTCCTTTGCTTGACTCTCGGTTTTCCGTTACCCAATCTTCTCCACTTTCCAACTTTACTCTCAATCAAAAAGGGAATTTTTTTTTACAACAAACAACATTTACTTGTCTCCTTTTCCAATGGGTTTTCTTTGAAAAGGTGACATTTTGCTTTGATCCCATATCTTTAAATTGCATATCTACCTCGTAATCATCGTTTTCTTGAACTTTTTTGAGGTACATTGTCGATGGGTCTGGTTTGATTGCTGATTCATTCATTCTTTTTCCCCAAATGCAGGAACTTTTTTTTATTTTGATTATTTTGTGTGGTTGATCAAGATTGACGAATGTTATTTGTAATTACATCATGACGACTAATCGCAGCGCTGATGCTTCTAAGGTTCTTGAAGTTTCATCTCATTGTTGTTCTGTATGTGTTTACTGTGATTGTCTCTTGTTTTTTTTTCATATTTTTTGTTTAATAATCAGGTTGAAGGGGTGAATCAACCTCCTCCACCACCTGGGGCTAATGATCAAGTTCGTGGTGGAAATAAGGTCAATTGGTTTATTGATGTTTAGCATTTTGATTCATTGTTCTTAATCTCTTGTCTAATGGTGCATAAATTAGTGAAGACCCTTTACCCCTTTTCCTTATTTTTCATAAAATGCTTGAAAAAAAATCATACTTAGATTTGATAAAAGTCACTTTTTTTTTTTGTATAATGGCATGTAGTAATAGCAATAAAGAATGGGATACAAACTGAGAACATGTATTTCATCTTGTGATTGGTCGACAAACTTTTGATAAATGACTGTGTCTATACTATTAGTTTTTTTTTGTGTGAGAGATGTCATGTTTTAGAGTGTAACCTGCTTGTCAAAAACAAAATTGATTCTTTACAATTTGGCTACTTAAGAGAGTGATCTGCTTCCTCAGGTTAAAAGTCCACTCTGTTCTGCAGTTTTACCTAAAACAATTTTCCATCTCCATGCATTTGATATTTGTCTAAATAGTTGAGTAAATTTAGAGATTGTGGATGATATGCATTCTAACGAAGATAATGATGGAGTTGACTGAAGATAAAAATTTGGTCTTGGCAGGTCTACAGAAGCGGTAACTTGTTTTTATCATCAAAAGGTTTGTCTTCTCTTCTATGCTATAATTTTTTGGATAGAGTTGCAAAGTGGAATGTGATTTCTCTTCTCTTGTTTTTATCTCCCACTTTCACACTTATGTTTCCTATTTCCAGTGTCATGTTTCTTCTTTTGAATCATAAGTTTTTTCTTTTTTGTAATTGCACTAAAATTCTATAACATCACATGTTTACTATATAGTTGTAAGAAGCATTTTGGCCCCAAAAGGTGGAGGATTTGTGGTTTAGGTCGCAGGTTCATGCCCCACACCATGCAAAGCGAAGCCCCGGTATTTAAGTGGAGAAGGATAGAGGGGCGGGCCCATTATCCACCCAATTTAGAAGACTGTGATTGGTCCAAAGGGCGGGTCACAGATGACTTTCTCGGTTATCAAAAAAAAAGTTGTAAGAAACATTTTGGTTTTTTGTCTTGGCGTCTAAATGAGGGGGTAGGAACTCGGTATTACAAGCTATAATTATAGGCCAGAAGATGGTATAATAACTGAAGGAATGTGTGTACTTTCTAGTGTTTTGTGTGGCACAGATCTGTTTATACCCATTAGAAAACTTAATATCATGTGTTCAGTAAGATCCCAAAAAGAAGAGAGGAAAGAAAAGGATCTGTGATAGTTCAGTTTCTATTATTCTTCCTTCTGAAGCACAAAAAGAATAAAAAAAGCAAATAAAACACCTTCCACAAACCAAATAGTTTCTGCTTTCAAACGACCACAACAGATTTGAAGTCAACTCTCCTACGAATAAGAATGATTATGTCATGTATTTGCAGCAAAGATAAATTGGGTTGCCATGCATGATCTTTGATTATAGTTATTTGTGAATATCTTTCATGTTACCATTTGATGTGCAGTTCTCTCAGCTCATTTTCCATTAGTTAGAAAAGATGTTTTTACTGTAATTTTATGCAGAACATATATTCTTTTGAGGAAAGTAACAACACTTTTTTCTGTTCTTTTTTATGGTCTGCTTTCTTGATCTCTCTTGACAAATATTTTTAGCTACTTTTGTGGTTCTATTTGCTTTTGTGTGCTGTCAGATATGCTTTATTGTCTTGTATTACATGTGTCCATTACTTATTTGCTAATTTCTAGTTAAAAAAGAACAGGAATCTGGAGTTTCAGGCGTATACTCAACATATTTCATATCTTTTTCAGAAAGCAAGAAGAAAAATAGAGATTTTTTACTTGTATAAAACTTGGGTTTTTGTTGATATTTGTGAAATCTATTGCATGTAGGAATTGGATGGACATCATGGAAGAAGAGGTGGTTCATTCTAACTCGTACCTCATTGGTCTTCTACAGAACTGATCCTGTAAGTTTGATGTTGTATACCGAAGCCATCATTCCTTACTACCTAGTAGAACTTAAGTTACTTACTCGCTTATTATGCAAGTATTTGCCAATTATCATATCATGGTTTATTGAATCCTGTAGTATATCTTCTTGGTTATTCTAACTTGTTAGAGTGATTCGTGATTTGGATATCACTCTACATGTATATTACATGGGAGAGTAGTATCTAAATGAACTCCAATGAGGTGCTTGCCATGTTGAAAGCTATCCAAAAAGCGTGAAAAAGAAAGGATGAATTATACACCGGTTAGCCCCCTTGCCAAATTTGTCATTTTGTAATGAAGACGGATCAAGTACTTATGGATGTAGCTAAAATTAACATCATCACTCTCGGGCTCTCCAACTACTTATGGATGTAAATTCGATTAACATCAGTACTCTCGGGTTACTGAAGACATGCCAGAAATGAATTACGGGTTTGACTAATCACGAATTAAGCCAGATCCCATTGCATGAACTAATGTGGTAGTAAACCTTTCATTCTTTTCTTTTTGAAATAGGCAAACCTTTCATTCTAATTTCGTGCTCTTTTAACCGCCGGGGATGGGGTTTCCCTTCACATAGTTTAGCCGTCAAAATTTCAAAGCAATGTTTGAACAATCTTATGTATATCCTTCATTTGACTTAACATGCTCAAATCAGATCCCCTCTTTTTCAATTTGTCAGGATTTGTTTCGTCCTTCCGAGATTTTTAGCATCCAGCTAGCATCTACAATTCATCTTCGACCTTGAAATTGCATTCTTGAACGACTCACTTTTTCCCTTTTGTGAATACTGATCACAGTTCTTGTTGGCAACATATAGCAAATGAATGACTTACTTATACTTTTGAGCATTTAAATACAAAGATGGTTTCGGAAAAAATGTTTTTGATAACAATGAGGTTAGGGATATCCCAAATGTAGAATTGAATATTTAGAAGTGCAGAAGCAAAAATAGAAAAGAATTTTAAAACTAGAAATAAAGATTTGGGAAATTGAAGGAACAATCCAAGAATTTCCTAGAACGCCATGTTCTAAAGCTTTGACAAGATCCAAGTAACAATATATAGATTTATGAGACTTGAGAAAACGAATCAGAATGATAGATTTGGATCTACCTTTTGAGTAACTTAGGACAGCAATTAGTATGTAGAAACTAGTTGCCTTTAACAAATACCTAAAAGCAATCAAAGATACAGCTGGAAGAAATTACCTTATACCTTGAACTATGACACTAGTAAAGGTTGTTGATAAATTCCCAAAGTGCATGTCATGAAGATTCAAAAGAACTTCCAAAATATTATTAATCTCAATGTAATGTGTTCCTAATGATTGAAAAAATACTCCTATTTATAGGAGAAAGCAACGTAGCCGCCATCCCTAATAAAACCATAAAAGAATAATCTAGAACGTAGGAAAATGAAATCCTAGCTTGGTGGCAAAGCTAGAAACGACCCTAATATTTGTGGCTGAACTAATGCCTATTTTTTCTCGATGAATTTATGTCCTTGACTGATTCTTTTCAGAATGCTACTCCTCTAAAGGGAAGTGAAGTGAATTTAACCCTGGGTGGTATTGATCTCAACAGTTCAGGCAGGTTGGCTTAGTATCTATGCTTAAGATAGTTCGTAGAGTGGCTTCCTTTTGACAAGTAACACCAAAATGGTGAATAATTCTATGTTTTTCCATGAATATTCAGTGTGGTTGTCAAAGAAGACAAGAAACTGTTGACTGTGCTATTTCCTGATGGTCGTGATGGGCGAGCTTTCACACTCAAGGTGCCATTATTTCTGATCGCTCTTTTGTTTTCTGTCTTAAACAGTTTTATCATTCTTCTGTTGCTTATTGTCATCCTTAAATTGAGTTTTCATTTTCCTATACAACTCATTATACAAAAGAAAATCATTCTCCTTACTGGTTTATGCTCAATTGTGTAACTTTAACCGTTTTAAAATCTAACGATGATTAACAATTCACAAATAAATCTGAAATATAGATACTATTTTGAGTACATTATAAGTTGAAAGCTTGAGTTTATTTGTTTCGTTGCCAATAATATATTCAAGCATACCTAGAATGTTACAAATTTATTAGTTTTCTTCATTTTATTTGAGAATTGTAAACATTCCCTCAAGTTACCCCAATTAATAATCACCTAATTAGTTGTTTCGAGCTCAAAGGCAGAGTGGTAACCAGCTTGCAAAGAAGCTTTTTAGTTACTCCCTCTATTCCAATTTATGCTATTAGAGTACGAGGGTCAAAACACTTAATTTTGACTTAGTATTGGTGTATAGATTCTACATTTAAAAAAAAAATAAAGTTAACATATTTGAGAACTACACGAAAAGTTCTACAAGTCAAAATAGCTGATTATTTAAAATATTTAAAGGAAGTTTGAGAAAACTGTAGTCGAAGAAAAAACTATTTGACTTCCCAAAGAGTAACACCTTCACATAAAATAGGGCGAAGGGAATACCAATTGCTTTTCACATTGTATGTCGAAGTTAGTGTCCTTATTGATTCTCATGTTTATACATGCATGTCCTTGGTAGCTCTCCATGCCTAAGGCATATATTTTATTTTTCTGTATCATGATAATAATGAATTAACGACTCTAAAAGTTCTTTTGGATGCCCATTGCTTTCTAAATGGGTTCACTCAACTTTCTTTTTGCTGTTTCAATTGTTGCATTGTATCATCATGATTATCCTTAGCATTCTAGGAATCTGTTTCTGTAAAGTATAAACCTTAATATAATCTAAGAGCTTTGATGTCATAGGCGGAAACATCAGAGGATTTGCTCGAGTGGAAAACTGCACTTGAGGAGGCTTTGGCAAATGCACCTAGTGCCGCCCTTGTAATGGGCCAAAATGGAATATTTAGGAATGATCAGGCCAATGCTGATGATGTTTCACTTGAGCAATGTAAGTTCTCACTAATCTGTTCTAAATGGCCAGCATCTGGTATGCATATTGCAGGTCGAGGAATAAAATGTGACTCTACTTACAACGAAACTTTACTAATTTTGATTAATAAGGAACTTCTTTTACGAATGCAAAATAGTCAAGCTGTTTCTGTTTTTCTATATGTATGTATAACTTTAATGAGTGTTAGGTATACATCTCTATTTCTGTGGTAAATATATGTCACAGTTTTTAAGTAGAGAAGTTGTTTTTAGAAAGCTTATGAGCTCTGTTCTCAGGAAGTCCGAAATCTGACTGGCCTACCAAATAACTCAGTTACTACAATGGCTTATGCATCATACTGGTCTTTATCTTGCTATTGCCGTTGCCTGATGTGTAATTGTCGTTTAACATTATATACTTTTCATGGATCTAATTTTCAACCTTTTTTAATTTCATTTTGCCTTCGTAGCTAATGATAGACAGCCTGTGAAGTCCATGGTAATTGGTCGGCCAGTTTTACTTGCTCTGGAAGATATTGATGGAACTCCATCTTTCTTGGAGAAAGCCCTGAGATTTGTAGAAGAGCATGGTAAGCTTCTTTTACTGTGTCAAATAACTATGGGATGGCTGCTTCTGTAATATGTTACTTTCTTATGCATCCAGCTTCAAATTCCAAATACTTCTTTCATCTGTAAAGGATCAGTTCTCAGTGGGGCTTATTCCCAAGTGCATATTCTTGCTTAAAGAATGAGGAGATCCAGTATCCATTTTCATCAAATCAGATGCATTGTTTGTTTTCAGTATCTAATTTTGCCACATGGGTATGTTTGAGATTGTTCAGTTAGACGATTCATAGTTGTTATACTCTATAGGAAATGAAAGACCAATGTAGGTGGACCCCAGCTGCACATTCCCATTCACTGCAGAAGTCTATTTTTCTATGAGATTTGCCTATTGTCCCATTGCTTTGTTTTGAGCCAAGGTTCTATCGGAAACGGTCTCTCTACTCCCCAATGGTGGGGGTAAGGTCTGCGTATATCCTAATCTCCCCAAACTAACACCTGTGGGATTACTCTGTGCATGTTGTTGTTGTTGTTATTTATATATTGTCCCATGTTACTAGGTGGTTGTGATATCTGTATCGATTACGCCTGTAGGTTACTTTTCAAACTGATTCTAGGCTTCAATATTGATATAAAATGTCAAAACTTAAAATTAATATTCCCTCTTTCTTGAAGTTTCAATTTCTAAGAGTCGAAGAATGGAATCTTGGACTGAGATTTTCGAAGAGGTAGTAGTTTTCATCCACTGCCAACTGGTAAGTTGGAGGTTCGAGTCGTGTGGAGGATAAGTTGGAGGTTTGAGTCGTTTGGAGGGTAAGTAGGAACATGATTTATTCTCCTCGAGGGTGTGGAAATACAAAAAAGAAGGAAAAGGGTTGGAAAAGTTTGTAACTTGTATACTTTTTGTGTTATATCTGAAGTGCTGTTCAGATTTTGGTTAGGGAGAAATAGTTTCAGAGTTGGGTTTTGGAAAAATATGTGTCTGGATTTGATTCTGGTTAGCAGTTTTATCGATTAAATCATTAAAAGCCTAAAGTATTAGGTTAGAACCAACTAAAAGTTTCTTTCTGCTACTAAATGCTTTCAGCACTAAAGGGGGGCCAAAATGCAGTTTGTAAAATGGAAAAACTGTTTCGAATTGGGCTGTTTCTGAAAAATTCTTTTGGTTTCCAAAGCCAATTTCAGTAAGAGAATTTTTCTATGTCCAATTTAAGGCTGAGAACCAGTCAAGTTGCGTAAATAGAAGTCTGAGAATCAGTCAAGTTGAGTCTGTAGAAGTAAAATGGACCAAATATTGGGATAGAAGAGATTTATAGTCAAATTGTTTTTTTACGGTTTTAATATGAACACCATGTTTCCCTATTCTTCTTATATAAAAAAAATGAACATCATTTACTTGTAAGGACAGTGCTTCTTCCTACTGTACTTCTTCTTTTGCTTTGATGTGATTTCAAGTGGTCTTTGATAATAAATAAGTTTAGCTAGAAGATAAATGGTCTACAAACTACTCTCTACTTTCATGCTCTAATTGATTTTTAAAAAGTATGCTTTTGGAGAACTTCTACTTATCTCTAACCTTCTTTCAATTGATACTTCTCATTTTTTGTCAAAGAAAATTAATACTTCTCATTTTGTGGACTGTTCATTTATTTATTTATGTCTTGCATTCTCATCGAATGGTACTGATCTTATACAATTTCTTCCAGGGATTAGAACTGAAGGCATCCTGCGGCAAGCAGCAGATGTTGATGATGTTGAACAACGAATACGGGAATATGAACAGGGTCTGTTACCTTTAAATTGAAAGGATTTCATTTTTGTTATTGTTTACTAGGTGTTGATACCCCAAGTATCTGCTGAAAAAGTTTACATTTTGCCACTGGTGACTAGACTTCATTACTCTTCAAAAGTTGCAATAATAAGCTTACTCCTTTCTCTCTCTATATATAATAAGCTTACTCCTAGTGGTGCACAACAATGTTGTTAAGTCTCATAGTGAGCTTTATAGAGCTGTAGATTTGGCTGAGTTGCTTTTTCTATGTGTGTTTAAGTGGTTTCCTCTTTTCAGATGCAACTGAATTATGATAGATGAGATGCAATTCTCAAATGACATCAGATTGTTATTAGCTAAGTAAATAATATGTTTTGATATAATGGCTGTGAAAGATCATTTACCTGTCAAAAATCTTTTACTTCTTTTCCTCATTTGAGGGGAACCTTGTACAAGTGTCTCTTGTGTAGTTCACTTGCCTTACAATAAGTAACAAATTTTTGTTCTCTTAATCCAGGTAAAACTGACTTTTGTACAGATGAGGATGCACATATTATTGCTGATTGTGTGAAGGTATATTCTTCAAAACAGAAGTATAGGGTTTATATAAGATTGTTTGTATGAAATTACTTTCGGAACTTGCTATTCATCTTTATTTCTGCAGTATATTCTGCGGGAGTTGCCATCATCTCCAGTTCCTGCATCTTGCTGCAATGCCCTTTTGGAAGCATTTAGTAAGTTTATTGTCTTATGTTGGGTCCTTTTAGATTGCCTCTTTTCCTTACATGATTTAAGCTAGTTCTTATAGAAGAAAGAAGGATACGTTTAGTATCACTACTCCAGGATTTGTAGAGTTGTATAGATATACTTTATTCATTCAATAGCATAACATGCATGGTCCATTTCTCTTGATGAAATATTTGCTAGAGCCCCTCCCCTTTGACAGTAATAACCACTCACCACGAGATTCTCAACTCTTTTCTGTGATTCACGAGTCCTGTGATCCATGTCTTTACTGCCACCCTTCCATACGAAGCAGCTATCTATTAGATTTATGTACTAAAGCGAATTCCTAGTCATGCTTATCCAATTTCTTTTCAACAGGCACAAAATGAAATATACATATTTATGCATAGAGTTTGTTTGACACCTATGACTTCATGAAAGCTGCTTGTCAATTTGGTCTTAAACTTTATTGTGAGTCAGGGTGAAGCAGATAGAAAAAATGGTTGGAAAACTATGATCATATAAGTTTTATCCTAGCATGAATGTTGGCCAACAAGAATCTTGGACTACCTGAAGTGTTTCTGTGGCTTTCATCACAAGATAGGATATTTATACATTTCCGTCAAAGATAAAAGTTGGAAGATTTGTCAGCTTGTAAGTATATCTGTTAAAATACTTTTGTAATTGCTGATAGGAACTGAGCGAGGCATTAGAGTCAATGCTATGCATACAGCTATATTGGAGACATTTCCAGAACCAAACCGTCGTTTGCTGCAGAGGTTTGTGATTCTTACTGTTCATGTTATTTTGATTTTGTCTGTGACACAGTTCGCTGGATCCAGTGTACTCATTTAAATCAATTTGGTATTATCAGTATCCTTCCCTGGACCCTGCATAGATGTGAAGATGTTTTGTGCACTACCCCCCCTTTTTTTTTTTGGGTATTATCAGTATGGTGCTTTTTGGTCTGAACATTTCATTTTCTAGCAGATGATTTCAGTTAGTTCTATGTATGTGTTTGTGCATAACAACACAAACACACATGTTGAGATATCTTTGCATCTATTCATGCTGTCAGATTTGCTAAATCTTTTCTGTTTTGGAGGTTTTGAATAATTGACTGAGTGTTGGCTAGAAGATTGCCAATTGTGTATTGCATTTCCAAATATAATAAAAGGACCTCTTGATATTTTTGCTTATGTGCTTTGATGTATCTTTTCTTTGTTTTTTTTTTTGGACAGAAGTTTTTTCATATTTCACTTGGTTAATTTTTACAATTCTTGGTACGAAATGTCCTAAGTGGTAACTCTTACATTTGGTGCAAAACCTGCTGGTTAAGTTCTCACAAAGGGAGAAGCTTCTCTTCTCTAAAATCAACAGTAAACAAGATAATTTGCAACAGTTCTCGCAATGACATCTGATCATATTGAGTAACGAATCCTAGTTTATGTTGCATAAAAAAGTAAAGCGGATTAAATTGGATTCAGCTAGATCATATAGGAGGCGTCATCTTGACCAGCCTTATCTCTGGAAGGTGATTTCCATCAAATTAGTATGGAAGAATCTGCCACTTGGTGTCAAAAGATGGTACAAGGATAGATTTTTGTTTCCAGAAATGTGCTTGGTGGAGAAGATTTCGGAGTTGGATCCATCGATATCATCATGGAGTGAGTTATCCAAACATTGAGGATTACTGCTTGTGTGAAGGTCTCATATTAGGAGATGTTTTGATTTCCACTAGTTTCCGTCCAAAGTTAAAGCCAATCATGTTCAGAAAGGGAAATAGATGAATTGCAGTCTTTCTGATGTTAGGTCAATGGGCATTTAGTAGTATATGAGTTTTAGCCGATATGTCTGGACTTCAACTGTCATCGGAGATGGTTGTTGTTACAAAATTTTGATCTTGAAGGAAAAGGATTCTGACTAGTATCAAATCCAGACTACATCAACAACTCAAATGAATTGAATTCTAAAGGTGACGTGATATCCGAAAAAGTATTGGAAAAAAGAGGGAGGCATACATGTTATCAGTGGTTAGAAAATGATTCTGAAAATTGGAGGTGGCGACAATGTACCACTATTTCCTTTGTGAACAAGAGGATGGAGTTCTTCTCACAGATTCCAGTTCAGACTCTACTAATGAGGAGATAGGACATAGGGAGTTCTTTGATGCAAAATTGTTGACAGAGATTTAAATTACTGTATTGTGGGTGAACTAGCTGCATTTAAATGCCTATAGACCAAATAAAATTTTGTCAGTTCAAGTAAAAAATTGAATAAGCTAGTATTTTCTCTTTTAGTAAGGTTGCTTAATCACTGCAGTGACTTTTTCCCCTTATGCTTATAGAAGCTCTAAAATTTGACTTAGCTTCTTCTGGGCTGCTGAACAATTTTTTAGTTCTCATGTGATGCTTTCTTCTGATGTCCATCAGGATTCTTATGATGATGCAAACTGTGGTTTCCAATAAAACTCAAAATAGAATGAGCACGTCAGCAGTGGCAGCTTGCATGGCACCTTTGCTTCTTCGTCCACTTCTAGCTGGAGACTGTGAGCTAGGAAATGACTTTGCTATGAGTGGTGATAGCTCTGTTCAACTTCTGCAGGCAGCTGCTGCAGCTAACCATGCTCAAGCCATTGTCATCACATTGCTAGAGGAGTATGATAAATTATTTGGGGTATAGTTTATGTCATCTTCAGTTCTGTATTTCCCTAGTTGCTTCTGCACCTGAATTATACATTAAGCCATCATCATCACATTGTTAGAGGAGTATGATAAAATTGTTCGGGGTATGGTCTACCTCATCATCCTCAGTTCTGTACTTCCCTAGTTGCTTCTGCCCCTGACGTTATGTTAAGGGGTAACATTTTTGGTTCATCTGGAACCTCAGAGTGCTGGGATATATTTCTATTTTTCTGAGATAGTGAGAAGACAATGAAATCTTCTATGTAGCCCTCCAATTCTTTCCTCTTTAAGTAAATGTTTATAATCTTTGCAGGAAGGCTCTGTATCGCCTGAATTATACTCTGACTCAGATGGTAGTGGAACCGAGAGTGGAGAAGAATTTACTGATGATGATTACAGCTATGATGAAGAAGATGAAGATGATGATGCGGAAGAGGGCTCTCACGCTGATATTGATGATTCTGATCATGATTCCTGTACAACAACCCATGAAGTTGGCGAAAGTGAAGATAGTAATAAGGTTCTTTCTTCATTGTCTTCACTGTTCTATTCTCATCCGTCTTCTTTTGTCAAGCACTGTGTTGCATGATGCTGGATTTTTCTAGTCCCTCTTTCCTACTTTACCCTTTCACTCAGGTGCAGCAGTATATTTAGCTTCTACAGTGATCATTGAAACTTGTGCTTGTTAAGATATTACTCGCCGTTTCAATTTGTTTGCCCTACTTTCCTTTTTAGTCCGTTTCATAAAGAATACATTTTCCTTTTTTGGCATCTCTTTAATTCTAATTTTCCACATGGCATGTTTAAGACCACAAGCTTAAAGGACATTTTAGTATATTCCATTCATTCCTGGCCTAAGCTGGAGCTCACATATATCACGACTAATTATGCAGAGCTCTCAAGTTTCTAAAACTAGTTTAAAGACTACTGAAGTGGACGTCTTCAAAACTACTGGAAGCTCACCGAGAAGTCTACCTCAAACTTCTGTTCAGAATGATGTCAATAAAGGGGGTGAGAGTGTTCCGCCTCCAAGTTGTGAAAATTCGAGAGCACAAGGAAATGAATCTGTTGAACAAGTAGGACCTGGACAGATTGAAACATCTAATTCTCAAAAGTCAACAAATATGTTAAATGGACCTCTACGCAGTGTTCGACGACCTGCTATCTGGGGGCGTACTCCTGTGAGTACTATTGTATACCTTTGGCTGACAATTAGCTCAGACTGTGACTAGCTTTCTTATTTGCCACTGTGTTTTGCGTTGGCCATATCATTGCCCATACACGTTTGTTGCTTAATTTAGCACTATTTAAACCAATCAAACTTGGACATCCTTGTTTGGACTTTTTACTTCTTTTATGACTAGAATATTGGCATATTTTCTGACATCTCATTTCTTGGTTTTTCATTTTTTGAGTTTAGGCCAAGAAGAACCTCTCCATGGAATCAATTGAAATCCCCTTTGATGAAGAGTAAGTGATGCATCTATCAAGAGTTAAAATTCCTTATAATGATGGCCAACCAAGATATTCAAGAGAAAGCACAACTACTAAATGAAAACAGTGGTAGAACAATTATGTTGCATGTATATATATATCCTTACTACATAGAGGAAGAGAACTCAAATATCAAATATGATCATGCAAACAGCACTTGCACTCTGACCTATGATTCCTAAACCCAAGCACATTTGATCCTGCCTAAAAAAGTGTCTACTGTTCTAAATTATTTTAGATGGATTTTACCATTCTGGTAACTGTTGTGTTTGAACTTGTTTTTAGAGATGAAATCCAGAGGCTTGAGGCCATTAAAGCTGACTTGCAAACTAGGATTCAAGAGGAGGTACATGTTATAAGATCCTTTTACTTGAGAAGTCTTATCAGTTTTCACTTCTGAATTACCTTTTCCCTAATTTTATGTTTACCTTTCTATATTTGGTCTTTGTGCTGCACGTATCTCTTCATTATAGGCCAAAGGTAATGCCCTTTTGCAAGAAAGTTTGGAGAAGCGAAAAGATGCTTTGCATGTGCGTCGTCTGGCACTTGAAAAAGATGTATGTGGTTTACTCCTTTTCTTTTCCTCTTATTGTTTTTCATTGGGTGCACATTGAACTTTTTACTTCTCATTCCTTCTTAAAGCCTCTTGATCTTCCGCGCATTTGAGCTGATTCTCTCTTTGCTTCTTAACTTTTTTTAGTTTACGGTTATGCTGGACTACAGTATGTGTTCTCTTATTTGCTGGTGCCATTGCTAAACCCTTCAAGGAAAAAATATATCCTTAATATTTATAGTAAACTGTTTACTCACTTGGTGGAGGAGTTACAATATTTCCTTGCTACAAGTATGGATTATTGAAAAACTCACAAGGGTGTGGGCTAACAGTTAATTCAATAATTCAAAAACACCTATTACAGTAAAGAGTGGTTGTTTGTCCTCAAAACATCTCCACACGATGCACTGTGGAGTAGATCCACAAAAGCACTTCGCTTTCTTGTTGACTGGAATCATAAACCAAACATGTAAAACTCAGCGGTTGATATAGACTTGTTTGTTCTTTTTCTTTATATATTCCAACTGTCCTTAGAACATAGAAGCTTAATTATTCCCATCTCCAATTTTATAAATGAATGCAATGAAATTGTTGGTGTGACCAGGTAACAAGGCTTCAGGAACAACTACAGAGGGAGAGGGAATTAAGGATACTTCTGGAAGCTGGACTTGAAGGCAAATTACCTGCCTCTTCCAGTATAGATGGGATGGTCAGTTTTCTTTCAACTTTGCCTATTTATGGTGTGGCTTGCTTATGCTAGAACTATAATTTTCTTTATGGTATAGATGAAGAATGAACTTCAGGAGATTGCTCAGGCAGAGGCAGATGTCAACAATCTGAAACAGAGGGCTGATGATCTTGGATTGCATCTTAGTAAACAACGCGAACAAAATTCCAAACTTCGTGCCGACTCGGGCAATCAACCACAGGAAAGTCTAAATAATCAGGGAAAAAGGTAATTATTGTGTTGCTTCTTCCTGTTTATGTTGTATGGCCATGGTACAATACTTTCCATCAAGAAGACCTGGCAGATGATTCCCGCATGCATTTTTCGGTGTATTTGGAAGGAAAGGAATCTCAGATGTTTTGATGGCATCTCAACTCCTAGCAGTAGTTTGAAGTCTTTTTGTCTTTTTAACTTATTTTGTTGGAGCAATCTATCCCCTGTAAATGATATAATTTCCCTTATAGATTTTATCAGCTCCCTCACTATGGTTTAGAAACCATTTTTTGCTTTCTGGTTAGCTCCCAGTTTTAGAAAAGGAGTTTTTGTTCTCACGAGCTAACCAGGACTCTCTTATGTAACTATCGGCATCCACTTGATGCCCTGCTAATATAACATCTTCATCAAAAAAAAATGTACATGGTACAATACTGCTTCAGTTCAAGTTATAGATTGTTATCACTACCACACTATTCATATCAATGAAAAGATAAGGAAAGAAAATGAATGATTTTGATATGCTGTTTCCCTCTTGTCTAAGTTAAAATTCAAGGATGCTCTTGTTTCTACACTGCTGCTTGTGTAGGAGACTTAAGTCGATAAGTTGAAGTTTCGTGGAGTTTTGATGCTTCTAATACAATGAGCCACTTTGCCATTGTTATTCTATTGGAATCTTGTCTAGTTTTGTCTCTTATCCTTCACCGTCTCGATCTTGGTGCAGCAAGGATAAACATAAGGATATGGAAACTAGTAAGTATGAAGCTAGTAAGCAGGCAGATTCATCACAAAGCGCCAACTCTTCTGTGGAAGTGGAGATGAGCAAGGCTGCTTCAGCCAGTATTAGAAAATCTACTTCTAGGAATGAGGCAAGTTTTATGGTTTATCTGGAAGTTTAAGCTTCTATTCCTTTTTCCTGTGGGCATAAAAAACAAAAGCTGAGTCTCAACTTTCAAGTTGAGGCAAATTATTGAAATTTTCGTAGTTTAAGATGGTTTTGGTGAGAAATATGAACTAAAGCTTGCCTATGCTTTTCTACTCTCTTCTTCATATCAGCTCACGCATTCTACTTGTTTATGCTGCCTTGCTCAGACACTTTAAGATCATTGAACATGTTTTGTTTGGCTGAGAGGGAGTTGAAAAGGATTCTTTCTAGAGGGATTCACCGACTAATTGTGCATTTGACAAAAGATCTTTTAGCACATAACATCAGTATCTGGCATAAATCATGTATACCAATTGTATCGAGGCTGTTCAATCCTATATTCTTTTGCCTTCTTTTTTTTTTTAAAAAAAAGAGCTTATAAGATCCTATATATATCTTTAGGGTCTACGAAATGTAATAGACATCTTTGATTGACAGGGAGCTAATACTACAACATCAGCATTATCAAAGCTGACAAACAGGCTCAACTTCTTGAAAGAACGTCGTACCCAAATTGCAAGTGAACTCCAACACCTAGACAAAAACCAGTCTGATCAGCCTGTCAAAAACAACGGAAAGGTTCAAGCATCTCGAAGTCAAACATCAGAAAAGAATAGACTGGATGATGGTCAATCACTTCAGCATCCAGATCAAGGAACAAAAAAGGAAGTCCATCCAAATTTGGACAAAGTAAAATCAGATAGCCTCCCAAATACAGAGAAAGGTCAAGCTGTAGTCCCTCCAAGTACAAACTCTAGATGATGCCTAGTCACTTTTTGACTTCCCTAGTTTGTTGTATGTCACACAACTTTCAGATACGCGTTAGACTGAGAGTGGAAGATGGTGAACATGCTTGTCGTATAGGACCTTGATTGGTGCCTCGAGAATTGGTTGCTGATGCCAATCTTGGCTAGCTGAAATTCCATGGTGCCCGATACATACAGGTCCTCTATCCTATGAGGAGATGTTGAGTGGCTGTGAAGCGCTACTGAGCTGAAGTTCTTCATTGTGATTGTCTGGAAATGAAATCAATCCTTTTGTATAGGTTTGTGGTAAGTAGAAATCTAATCATCTGATTTAGCAGATTAAAGCTATCAGATAGTTTGCTGATTAAACTAAGATAAGAAAATTTTGGTGCCATTCAATTGTATAAAATGTTGGATAAGTTTTTCATTAGGACATGTTTAATTAAGTAACCCTAATATTACTTCACTCTCTGTTGCTGCTATCAATTTATTCTTGACTATACAACAACATACCCAGTGTAGTCCCACAAGCGAGGTCTAGGGAGGGTACAGTGTATGAAGACATGTATCCTTACCTATATGCCCTTTTTAATATCCCACTAACCAGCCATATACTTTCTAGTTCAGAACAAAGAAGCAAAATCCCCAAAACTCCCAAAGCTACGTAAAATAAGTCAATCTAAACATCCTTGGTCAACGCTCAAAAAAGGCGGTGTGTACTCTACTTCTATATCATCATCTTCTTAATATATATATCAATGAGGATTTGCATTTTGCAACCAAGTATGCTTTCTCAAATCGTATAAGTTTTATCTCCTTATCCTAACAGGAATACGAATTGAAGTTCGAACTACACATTTCAAATTAACAATCCTGATGTTTGAACTGTGGAATTAGACTAAAGGATTAGTCACCAAATCATAATAAAAAAACTGCATTAAATTGACCAATATTATTTTTGCTTCTTTCTTATTCTCTTTTTTCTTTATTCTTATTTAATGGTATGAAGTTGGAACCACAACAATTGAACTTTGGAATAGAAATCTAAGGTATAATTAAATCATATGACATATTTTACGAGAATGCACGTAAAAAGAAACTCAAGATTCAAACCAAAAGTATCTGACAAGAATACTTAATCATGCGATTAAATGCTCAATTGAAACAAGTCATAATTCAAGTGTATAAATAAAATTACTCGAAAGTTTAAAGTAATGTCCATGTAAGCCAAAGTATTAGCAGAAGTAATTGAAACATGAAAGTAGAGAACATAATATGCTCCCATCCCTCTGAAATTTTAGATACACAAAAGTCGCATACAAAACAAACCAATTGATACACAATTAGTAAATACAAATTTATATAAAGAATGTTTACGTCAAAACATATAAATTTATAATAGTTATATGAGTTAATGAAAAGAAATCGAATGTATGTGAATTAACCAGTACATATTAAATACTAAAAATCTGCGTATAAACAGATGTCATGCATCTATTGAATTGATATAAACATCAAGTATACGTAAATTATATTGCAATGCACTTTTACTTTAACTACCAACTAGTATATGTACCCGCGTATAACAAATTCTTGTCTAATGGTTAGAATAAAATAGTTAATACTAACCTTTCATTCCCTCAAACCAAATTGTTCAACAATAGTAAACAATTTTTCACCATTCTTTGTGTTAGAAATTTCTGCATTACCAACCATTTTTTCAAACAAGAAATTTCAATTCTATATAGCCTTTTAAAAGGAAGAACAACACCAACATTTAGAGATCATAAAATAACCAAAAAAAACTCAAACAAAAAAAAGAATAAAACTGTCTAGTCTTTTCCTCTTATATTAATTTCCTCCTTCCTTATATTCATTCAGATCAATTGCCAAAATATTAGTAGATCATCATGAAGTAAATTAATAAAAATAATTTAGTCATGTTGATCTGAAAAAAATTAAAAAGGAAGGAGTTTTTTTTTTATTATATAGTTTTAGGAAATGGAGGTTCAAAGGCTACATGACTTAATGTGGTTATGGTCAAGATTGCAAAGTAATCGTGTTGCCCTCGTGGGTGGAAACCACACCGCCTCTAGATTTTGCACTCGTTAAAATTACGTTTTTTGAACCCCACTTCCCTTTTTTTGTTCGTTAGATTGAAATTAATTTCCATGCTCTCTTTTTCGAAAACTCTACACCACACCTACGTACTCTCTTCTTTTGCTTACTGATCAGACTAATTCAGATTCATATCTGACGGTTGACAAGACGAAAAGTCGCTATAAGATAATGAATTTGTTGCAAGGTTTTCACACCAAAAAGGACAAAATGAAAGGCACATACATGGATGCCTTGGAATTTTATAATGATACACATTTGGTTGTTATTAAATTGAACCATTTGTGGGTTTTGAGGTTGATTTCTCAGATAGCCATTCTATGGCTAGTTATTTTATCGTTCCCCTGGATTAATACGGTAATCAGGGGATTAACATCGAGCTATGGGTATATTAACGTTTCGAAAGGTGATTATATGATGGCTAATTATAATTCGATTAAATTAGAGGTTTTGCCTCTAATTTTTCATGATTTGGCTAATGAAGGCCTTCTCAAAACAAGGGACAAGTCCTTGTTTATTACTAATGAAAATGAAGAAGTTATATACAATTCTCAAGTTACAAGTGATTACAACATGGATTTGATTTCTCTTTCAGATTTGGCACATAAAGATGAGACTTATGACTTTGCACTAATTCCCTATGATTCATCCAAGTCTCTCGATTTTATCGATCGAGCTATGAACGTAGGTGGTATTGTCGTTGTTCAACTAATTAACGACAACCCTATGATTACATTTTCTCAACCATCAAACTACAAAGTTGTCTACATACGAAAATTCGATTCAACAATACTAGCCATGCGAAAGACAAGTTCATTTACCTCGATTGAATCAACAACTACACAACATCATAGAAAATTATTCAATTTTGGTCCAAACGCGAAAGAGGATGCATTAAAAAAGCTAGAAGATGTACTACTCGAACCACCAAGAGCAGCGTCAGGAAAATCGAGTAGATATCTCAAAAAGACACGTTATTTGCCAGAATTGATGAACATTCGTCTAGAAAGCTACCCACGTAGGGTATTCATTGACGTTGGTTTACAAAACAAAAACGAAAAATCAGGTGATTCTAGTTGGTTTTCGAAGCATTATCCAACTAGGAACACGAAATTTGAGATATTCAAGATTGAAATAGTGGCAAAAGAGTCATCAGCACCATTGATTGGAATGTCAGATTGGTTAGAGAAAAATGTGAAGGAAAACGAATATGTAGTAATGAAAGCAGAAGCAGAAGTAGTAGAAGAAATGGTAAGGAATAAAGCAATTAAATTAGTTGATGAACTTTTTTTAGAGTGTAAACATCAAGGTGTGAAAAAAGGCGATAAAAAGAAAAGTAGAAGGGCATATTGGGAATGTTTATCTTTATATGGTATGTTAAGGGATGAAGGTGTTGCTGTGCACCAATGGTGGGGTTAAAAAAAAATTACTACTACTTATACAAATATTAATTATAATTATATCTTAATGATGATAATATAATTGTGTAAAAAATATTTATATTTGTGAAGTTTAGCATAGAGGAAGTGAGGTTCCTTTCATATATGTATATTTTGTTTGATATATGATTGTATAGCTGTTTTCATTTATCAAAATAGTATGTTAATGAAATGCAATTGAAATTAAAGGTAGTTATTATGATTATTTTCGTGTAAAATTAATCTACAAAAGTTAGTACAATATTTTATAATATATAGTCTCTTTTTTTCTTGTTATTATTATATTGTTGCAGTATTTCGCTTCAAAAGTAAAAACTAAAAAAAGACAAGTTAGTAATGGTTCTTTTCTTTTTCTTTTTTCCTGTTGTTATATTATTATTGCATTGTTTCATTTCAAAAGATTTTTTTTTTAAAATAATGAATTATGTAATGGTTCTTTTTTTTTCCCGAAGTTATAAAAAAAATAAGTTACATAATGATGAAGATATCATGTCCTTTTTTGTACTGCATTTAAATAAAAAAATTCAAGTACAAAATGTAAGTCCTTTTGCTAAGTGTTTATTTTGGCTAAATTTTAAAAATAAATAAAATAAAAATTACAACTTTTTTCATTCGAATTTGTTTGTCTATTTCTAACAAAAAGAACATAAAATGAACCAATTAAAAAGAAGGATTATATAAATATTTGTTTCAACTATTTTTTTTTTTTTGGATAAAGTCAAAAGTGCCCCTAAACAACTCAGCGAAAGTTGATAACGAACGGGTCGGGTCAATCCGGTTGAGTCCGCCCTATATTAACAAACAATCGAAACGTACTTTGTTTTCCTGTCACCAACAACACTCTTCTCAGTCGTCCCTCTTTGCTGCTGAAGAACGCCGGCGACAAGCGACGGTGCCGGATTTCTCATCGAATTGTAGCATTCACATTAGAATCTTCATATCTGAACTCTACTCTGTGTGTCCACTTGATTACTTCGCTCTGTTATCCCTTTCTGGTGAGACATATTTCTCTGTTTCTCCTTATCGTTTTTATCTTTATTTCAGCCTTGTATAAAGCATTGAAGTTATTTTCTTCTCTTCTTATTACTTTTAGAGCTATTATTTGAACTCAAATTGAACCCTAGATTGTTGTAAATCACTTTTGCATGCCTGTTGTGCTTTTGTTTTTGCTGCGCTTTAAGTTCATTTGTAATGTGCAGTTGTTCTGTTACGTTTTTGCTCTGTTTTGTTTACTCTCCTTGCTATTTTATTCCTTTAGGGTTTTTGAGACATGAATTTTATGTTTTGTTTTTTCAAAATTTGCTTTTTCCTTTTGTTCCCTGGGGAATGGGTGATTTGGAGAAGTTCAAGGAAGGAATTGATGTTCTTTGTTAGGGAAAATGATGACTTTCTTGTTGTCATTAGAATGCAGCATTTGCTTTATGTGTGGATTAGTTTCTGAGAGACTACACTCACTTACCACAAAAAGAAAGAATTCAGCAGAGACTAATAGAACTTCCAGGTGTTTGATAAAAGGAAGGATGAGTATGTAAACTAGTTTTGGTGGAGAATCAATGAGGATAGGTTTCAAAGTTATACATGGATCTCTCTGGTACTAGTGTAGTAAAGAACTCATTTTTCCCATTGAATTCAACTGCTACAGATTGAAGTTGGTAGTGTATTTGTCTTGAGAGATATAGTAGATTACTAGATGCCTCTGTAGAAAGAAAAAACGTGTCCTCTGCAAAATCTTTATAAAACAAAGAAATCTAGCTAGAGCCAATTCTGATCACTCTACAGTTCCCTTAGATTGTGGAAAATGGAACCACAAGAGTTCTTACTTCAAATTTGAAAATCGGTGGTTAGAGGTGGATGGTTTTAAAGGGATGATTCATGGAGCAGAACAAACTTTGTGGAGTTGATTAATAAGAAGAATAGTCTACTGAATGAGTTAAGCTACTGAATTAGTCTACTGAATGAGTAAATATCCCTATGAAGGCATTGGTCTATGTTTGGTTGGTATTAGGAAAGCTTGCCTTACTCGAGTTAAGCTACAAAGAAAAAGGTTTTTAGATTTGTTCAAGATGTCCTTTGTATGAACAGGTCGGTGAAAGCAATCAACGCTTATTCCTACAATGTAGGAGGACAACTGTAAATCTTTAGCACATCTTGTTTTGTTTGTTGGGAATAACTTGGGCTATACCTTGTTCTACTTTGGCATTGTTGAACAGCTGGTGGAGTAACAAGGTGGGGAGGAGGATCGGTGGAAGATCATTCATGCTTGCATTTGGTGGACAGTGTGGAAAGAAAAGAATGGTAGACATTTTGAAGGCACTAGCAGTTTTATCCAGAAAATTAAAATGCCTTGTCTTTAGCTTGTTCTTTTTTTGGTGTAAAAAAAATATTTGGAGGGAAGTAGGAGAGTTAGTAGATTTAATTGACAATGTATAATTGTATAGGGTTTTAGGAAGGGGTTTAAGCACCCTTTTGCTGCTTGTAAAGTTGCTAAATTAGCACTTTTTTTGGGTGGTTAAGCTTTTTACTGAATACAACTATTACTTGTTTCAAAAGAAACAATCTAAATGTGTTCAGAATTTGCTAAACAATCATTGATTATGTTTCTTTGTCTGATCTTACTTCTAGCTATAGATAAATAAGAGCTCTCTTTGTACTATTTTTTTTTTTGAAAATGGTAATTGTTTCTATTTCTGCAGAACAGTACATAGGTTGTACTGAAACTCGTATTTACATAAGGAAACTCTAATAATACCGACCTATCCCTATAATGAGTCTAAGACATCAATGATAGAGACGGTATCATTAGAGTAAATTTGATTACACCAAAAACACAGAGTCGAAATGCAATTCAGTTTAACTTGTTGCATACTACTCTCCCTATTCTCAAAAACTCTAAGGTTCCTCTCTTTTTATATTGTCCACCAAATAGTGGCAGGGACAATTCTCCAGTTACTTCTGTTTTTTGCTTGTGTCCCTGCTTCTTCCCAGCTAAATAGAGCCTCTGAAATTCTCCCAGGCATGGACCAGGAGATGCTTTTACGTCTCAGGAACAGATTCCACAACTGGTCAGTGACTTTGCATTGGATAAACAAATGATTGACTGTTTCTGCAGTTTTCCCACAGAAAAAACATCTAGAACAAAGTGTAATTCCCCTCTTCATTAAATTGTCCTGTGTCAATACTGCTTCTTTAGTCAATAACCACACAAAGCAAGACACCTTGTAGGGGATCTTGGCTTTCCATATATGTTTCCAGGGCCACTTGAGTAGCTGCAAATTTGGATGATTCAACTTCTTGTACACTGCACCTACTTTAAAAATCCCTTTACTGTTTCCCAACCACTGCAATCTGTCTCTCCCTATTTCCAGACCACTAAATTGATCAATGCTTCTAAAAATTTCTGTTACTCTTGGAATTTCCCAGTCATTGAGGTATCTTCTAAATACAAATTTCCACCCTTGAGGAGTCCATAAGTCAGCTATAGTACTTTGTTGCTGAAGAACTAAATTGTGGATGTCAGGGAAGAGAGTCTCCATATTTCCTTCTACATGCCAATCATCCTTCCAAAACCTAGTTTTTATGCCATCTACCACTTTGATCTTGGTGTTAGGTTTGAATTCATTCCAAAGTTCTCTAATGGATTTCCATAAGCTATAACACCATAAGGGGTGGTAACCTCCTTTGTCATCCAACTATCACTCTTCATATTTTGCCTTTATGACTGAGCCCCACAAATTCTGATTATCATTGGAGTACTTCCAAAGCCACTTCATCCTCAAAGCTTTACTCTGGTTCTTCATGTTCTTGATCCCCAGACCCCCAACTCTCTTTTCAGTGATCACAGTTTTCCATTTGACTAAGTGATATCCTCTCCTTTCCTTGTTCCCTTGCCATAAAAATTTTCTCCTGATGCTATCCAACCTATTGATGATTCCCGGTGGGATAGGAAATAATGACATCATATATGTTGGAAGTGCATCAAGCACAGGATTAATCAAAGTTAGTCTTCCCCCTAGTGAAAGGTACTGAGACTTCCACCTTGCTAGCCTCTTCTCACACTTCTCAATCACCCCAGAAAAAGGAAGTATAAATTTAGCCAAGGGTTCAAGAAGCACCAAAATGGAAAATTTGGAGCTTCCTACGATTCGGCAAATGTTTAATCTGCGAAGGTATTGATTTTTAGTGTTAGAGACTCTCTTTGTACTATTATAGTTGCTCCTTGGAGGGCGTAACTAGCCTTTTGCCTACGGGTTCGGCAAAACCTAGTACCTTTGGCGCATATCTCGTATTTGTACAAAAAATTCCACTTAGTATATATGAATAATCTATTGAGAACCCAGTAACTTCGCCTCTTCTAGAATCTAGAACATAAACTCAAAATCCTAGCTCTGCCACCTTAGACTAACATCCAAATTTATCATAATGCTAGTATTAATTTGATTCAAGTTAGGAATTGTGTAGCATGTTGATAGAGTTCCTCAGTTCATAATAGTCAAGGAGTTGAGTTTTTCACAGTGTTGTCAAAGGCTCATTTAAGGCACACTGCTTAAGCCTTGAAGCTCTGGGAGGGTGCTTCGCCTCACAGAAGTTGCAGTTCAGTTTAGGCAGTTAACAAACTACACCTTAGTCCCAAACAAGTTAAAGTCTTATTGATAATGTTTTTTCATTAGAACTCTTCTTCCTTTTTTCCTTTTTTTGATTAAGGTTCTCCATTTAAACTTATGTCAAGCCAATATTGTTCAAAATTAAAGTAAAAGTATAAGGTAGTTGAAGTTCTCTATATTTTCTTCTTGGATGCTCCAAAGATTCAATAAGAATCAAAAACAAACTTTCAACTTTGCTCTGATTCATATAAGATAGATTACAACAACAACATACCCAAACCCAATGAAATCCCAAGTTAGATTAACTTACTATATTAGTTTTGGAAGTGGTGTTCAACTTGGTGGACTAAGTCTCACGTCTTAATCCCAATCATTAAGTCCGTTTTGGAAGTGAAATCTCAGTCATTAAGTCCGCTTGTTTGTTACCTCTGAATCTTAATCATTAAGTGCGTATGTTTCTTTTATTGTTTCAATTACTTAATGAGTCTGAATAGATCTAATGATTAATATTTGCGACAACGTTTTAATATCATTAAGATGTTCATTTAGAAATTTCTATAAAAATGGTAGTTTACAAATTCCATCCATTCACCATTACCGCCTTTGTCCATTATTATCACCATTGTCACCCACCATTATTAATTACGTGCCACCACCCACCATCCTCAACCACAACTGTTATTACTACTCGTCACTACCTCTAGCCACAAATAATAATCATCATCAATAACTATCATTACCATAACAACCATGAATCACCACTTTTGATCACCACATCCTATTTCGGCACCCATCGTCATTATTCACCACCACCATTAACTATCACTATCACCCATCACAACTATTTTTTTGAAATTGGGACTTATGTAATGGATAATAATGTAGTTCCCCAACGTCCAAATACACCAGAAAAAGGAGCAAAGGATAGCGAGAGGAACATCACCCATCACAACTATTGACCGCCACTATCAAGGCAACAATTATCACCCCGCATCAACCTTTAGGGATCGTTTGGTGTGAGGGATAAAAATAAATAGTGATGGGATAAAAATTTTGTATCTTGTTTGGTTGTCATGTTTGGGATAACTTATCCCACCATTTATATCATAGTGATGGGATAAGTTAGCCCATATATATGGTGGGATAAGTTATCTCAGGATAAGGTTGATAACTAATCATGGGATACCTTGTTCCCAACCAAATGACACCATCACCATCACCAATAGCTGCTGGCGCCTCCCTCTCCACTAGCCAACATCATCCACAATCTCCACTGTTAGCCATCACCACCGCCATATAATTTTTTTTCCAAATATTTTGTTGATGTATAATGTATTAGATTAATTTAGTATTTTATTGAATTTTGTATTTATTGAATTTTAAAAAATTATGTATCAAAGGTGTTAGATAAACAAACATTCTTAATTATTAAGTATTTAGATCATAATATAACATCTTAATAATTCAGATGTGCATTTAGATTCAAACATCCAAGTCTTAATGCACATCTAAATATTCGGATGTGTATTTAGATTCAAACGTCTTAATAATGAACACGAATGTGGCAATTCAGGCCATTGAATAAGAGAGTATTAGCTTTATTTAAGAATTAGGAAGATCATTAATGTGTTACTCCCTCTTTGTCAAAAAATAAATAAATGTATTACTCCCTCCATCCCAATTTATTGGAAGGTGTTTGACTGATTTTTGAAATTTGTTGTGTAAATTGAGTCATTGATATTTGTGTGGTTATATATCTTCCAGGAAGTGTAAAATGAGTTTTTGAAGTTAAATTATTACTAAATATAAAAGGGTATCATTCTTTTTGCTACCGACTAAAAACAGAAAGAGTATCAGGATTAAATTGGGACGGAGGGAGCATTACATAGAGTAATATTGTAATTCCTAATTCGTCGTTCTTTTATGTTACATTCTTTTTTACCAGGCATTAAGTAGAAATTGTACTTTTATAATCCTTTTATTGTGTTTACTAGTGTAATCATGTTCTAGATTAGGTGAAGTGCATGCACCATTCCTTTTCTTTAGACAAGTCGATATGCGGGTACTATGCTTCTTATGTGGATGTTCAATTTGCATTTTGCTGACAGCTTGATCTGCATGTGTAGGGTAGAGGGTATATTTCCATGGGGAGACATTTGTAACCAAAATGTATCCTAAACGATCTGGTCAAGCTGATGACGCTGTTTCAGGGCCAGTTCGTACAAGTGACAGGCTTCGGCGAAGGCCAACATTGTATGGTCGCCCGTACTTGTATTATACTCCAAAGATAATCCGTCCTAAGAGAAACAAGACCAAGACAAGGACCGCAGCGTCTCAGATCGCAAAGATGTTGCGTCCTGGGAGTCGGCCAGTGCGAACAAAAAAATCAGATGTATGGCTGTTTCTTGTTTTTCCTGTCTATTGATTATGTTTGGTATCTTGGAAATGAAGTATATCTTCATTTTTTGTGGTTCTTAAAACTAAAGATCTGTTTAGACATTTAAGTTTACTATGGAATGACAGTTTGGCTAGTGAACATATCTTAGATTGCACTACATTGTCTTCTTTTTCATGCATATGGTAGTGAAACGTGAGGATATCTGATATGCAGTTGGAAAAACTAATGTCACTAATAGAAATTGTTACAATACAGTGTATGTTGTGTTTTGGTTACACTATGGTGTCTATTTAGTTAATTTTCATGATTAGATAATTCTGTATATTTGGACGGGGATATCTCCACCAAATTCTCCCACCTAGGGTTGAGCATTTTTTCCCTTTGTGTACCCATTTGATTCTGTTACTCTTTTCATGACATTTATATTCATATTTGCACGTATTTCATAAGGTTTTTGAAAAAGTATTTAGGAGAAAAAGAACAAGTTATAAGGTGTTTGAATTTATTTCTTGGCAGTCTGTTGCTGCCAACCTTCGACGCTCTACGAGAACGAGAAGAGTTTCTGTGAACCTTGAAGGATATACAGATAGTTCTGGAACCGAGGATAATGACTTAATGGTAAGTTTCTATTGTCTTACTAACATGAATTTCCAACTAAAATGTAAAATAGCATATATCAAGTTATCTTTGAATATCAAATTACTCCATTAAATTTTTCATACTTCTGAAGTGATAGATGTTCTTTTGAAAATTGGTTTAACGTGAATTTGCTTCAGAGCCCCAAGTATCGGCGTTCTAGGAACCGAGAAGATGATAACAGTGCAAGTCAGGATGACCTCATGCCTCGACGTGAAGGACTGCGTCCCCGTCGTGCAGGATTACGACCTCGTCGGGCTAGAGTAGTTGGAAGACAGCAGTTAAATCTAAGGTCTGATGATGAACAAGATACTTCTGATGAGAAGATTGGCCAGGGTGATCCTGAAAATGGAAATGATGTAGATGATAATGATGCTGATGAGGCAGAGGATGAGGGTGGCGGTGACGGTGATGGAGAAGATGAGGGTGAAGATGAAGGCGACGAAGATGGTGATGATGAAGAGGGCGAAGAACAGGATGGTAGAAGGCGATATGACCTCCGCAACCGAGCTGAGGTACGCAGACTTTCTATGGAAGGTGTTAAACAAAGGCCAAGATCTCCTCGTAGGGTACTTCAGCAAGGGATGGGGACCAAGGTGAACAGAGATGTAAGAAGAGGAGGATCCCGAGTTCATAAACGTCATCGGATGACACGAGGTGATGACTCTGATGATTCTCTTCTTGTAGATGAGCTGGACGAAGGTCCTCCAATTCCTTGGGGTAGAGGTGGGAATAGATCTGGACCACCTTGGCTTTTAGGGGGATTAGATATGCAAGGAACAGCATCGTGGGGATTAAATGTGGCTGCATCTGGATGGGGTCATCAAAGTGAAGCTTTCACTAATTTGACATCTGGGATTCAAACTGCTGGACCAAGTTCCAAGGGAGGGGCTGATATTCAACCACTGCAAGTGGATGAAACTATAAGCTTTGATGACATTGGTGGGCTTTCTGAATATATTGATGCGCTGAAGGAAATGGTATTTTTCCCACTATTGTATCCAGACTTCTTTGCAAGTTATAACATTACCCCACCAAGGGGAGTTTTATTGTGTGGACCTCCAGGCACAGGTAAAACACTGATTGCCAGAGCATTAGCTTGCGCTGCGTCAAAGGCTGGCCAGAAAGTCAGTTTTTATATGCGGAAGGGTGCTGATGTCCTGAGCAAATGGGTGGGGGAGGCAGAAAGACAGCTAAAATTGTTATTTGAAGAAGCTCAGAGGAACCAGCCTTCCATCATCTTCTTTGATGAGATTGATGGACTTGCTCCTGTTAGGTCTAGCAAGCAAGAGCAGATTCATAACTCTATTGTGTCAACTTTGCTGGCTTTGATGGATGGCCTTGACTCTCGAGGGCAAGTAGTCTTGATTGGTGCAACCAATCGGGTTGATGCCATTGATGGAGCCTTGAGGCGACCTGGAAGATTTGATCGTGAATTTAATTTTCCTCTACCTGGCCTTGAGGCACGTGCTGAAATATTGGATATTCACACTCGAAAGTGGAAACAGCCTCCTTCTAAGGAACTAAAAATGGAACTTGCAGCTAGTTGTGTGGGATATTGTGGTGCTGATCTGAAGGCATTGTGCACAGAAGCTGCTATTCGTGCATTCCGCGAGAAGTATCCTCAAGTTTACACTAGTGATGACAAGTTCTTGATAGATGTTGAATCAGTTACGGTGGAAAAGTATCATTTTCTAGAGGCCATGACGACAATCACTCCAGCTGCCCATAGAGGCTCAATTGTGCACTCTAGGCCATTATCTTCTGTTGTTGCACCTTGTCTACATGGACCTCTCCGGAAAGCTATGAGCATCATTTCGGATATTTTTCCTCTTTCAGTTTCTTCAGAATTGAGTAAACTTTCCATGCTCTCCTATGGTTCTGCTATTCCTCTTGTGTACAGACCTCGGCTTCTGCTCTGTGGTGGTGAAGGTGTTGGGCTGGTAAGTAACTTTGGGCCTGTATTTTATGAGTTGGAGAAATATGTACTTCCCACTAAATATACTTACTCATGTAGTTCTCCAGGATCATGTAGGGCCTGCAATTTTACATGAACTGGAAAAATTCCCTGTTCACTCGCTTGGACTTCCATCCCTTCTTTCTGACCCTGGGGCCAAGACGCCAGAGGAGGCATTAGTTCACATATTTAGTGAAGCAAGGAGAACAACTCCGTCAATACTCTATTTACCTCATTTCCATCTTTGGTGGGAGAATGTGAGCTATTGTTCACCCCTTCCCTTTTCCTCATTCTACAATGCTTTATTTTGATTTTTAGTGCATAGATGATTTTCTTGAACCTGCTTATTTCTTCAGGCACACGAGCAGCTCAAAGCTGTTCTGAGGACGCTGTTGGAAGAGCTCCCATCTGACTTGCCTATACTATTATTTGGGACTTCCTCAGTACCACTTTCTGATCTACCTGATGAGCCTTCTTCAGTATTTTCACACCATAGCGTGTATGCTTTCTTCAAATTGAGCTCCACCTTTTAGTTGGCATGATTCTCTTTGCATACTCTGGATATGCTTGTTATTTACCTTCATTCAATCTGCTATCTTACTGTTAGCCAGCTGCATGTAAATTTTACTTCCTCGTTGTCTTAGTTGGCCAACAGTTTCATGTTAGGTTCTGTCTGAAGGTTGTTGTGTTCAATGATGTTTTGTATTTGTTGATATTTCTCAAAAGAGGGAATAATTGTATCAGTGATGGTATTGGTCTGTGCCTACATTATGGTTTCTGCAACTACAGCTTTTTATCATGAACACCACAGACAACGTATTATCCTTTTGATAAACCAGATGTTTACAGTCACAGACAGTTCTTACTCCAAAGTTTGGCTGGGTCAAAGTTTCACACTTCTTTAGAGGTTGTGGGATTAGTTATGTAGGTAGGAGGAGAAGAAACTAGCAAGGATACCCTCTGGGCTTAATTACATTTTGAGTTTGGTGGTGATTTCTAGGTTGCATCTGAAAGTAGTCATGG